CCCCTTTGTTTTATTAATTTTCTATTTACATTGTGTCATTGATCAAATTTATTTCAATTGATGTTTTATAGTGTGTCTTTCTATGTTGTGATGTTACACTATTGTTTAAGGTTAGGGTGAAGATTTGCGCCTATTAAAACGTTTAAACCCGCTGCATTTGTTTGCACCTGTCCTAAGTCAGGAGCCTGACGTTCAGTGGTTGTCGTTTGTTCATGTGGTTCATAAGTGTTTCTCGTTTTTTATATAGATTAGACCGTTGGTTTTCCTGTTTGAATGGTTTTACACTAGTCATTTTGGGGGCCCTTTATAGCTTGTTGTTAGGTGGGAGCCAAGGCTCCGTGTTAAAGGCCGTACTTTGACCATAATGGTTTTCTTTTACAAATTGTGACTTGGACGGAGAGTTGTCTCATTGGCACTCATACCACATCTTCTTATATCTATTATGAGCGCTCAACCCTCCCGGTTACCTGGGACAGTGGTGTAAGAGCACAACATAAGAACTAACTATAAAAATAAGCTGAAAAAGGCTGAACTCATTAGATCGATACAAAGAAAAACATCAAACAAAAACACAGATATGTCTGTTTTATCAGGTGTTAGTGGTTGATTTGGTATATTGTACTGTACGGTATTAATGTCGATTCCTGTTATTCTTTTTATATTTTTGACTATTTATGCACGTGTTTATTATAACTTATGACACCGATTTCAGCATGCAACATACGTGATTCTAGAATTATTTTCATTAGGAACAATGAATTCTCGATACCAATTCGTTTTTATTAGAGAGCACCACTTTTATAACGCCTTTCTCCGTTAACCTTAATAATTTGCCTGGTGAGAAAGTTATTACCTTTAGTTAGTTGAAGTACATATAGGCAACGACTTAATATATCAAAAGTATGCCTATCTAATCGCATTAATATAAGCTATGTAAGTTACGCTAAATGTATAAAGTCTTTGCTTTCGGCCATATTTGTCTAGATTAATTTCTGATATAAATAAGAAGATGTGGTATGAGTGCCAATGAGACAACTATCCATCCAAGTCACAATGTGTAAAAAGTAAACAATTATAGGTCAAAGTACGGCCTTCAACACGAAGCCTTTGCTCACACCGAACAACAAGCTATAAAGGGCCCCAAAATGACTAGTGTAAAACAATTCAAACAGGAAAACCAACGGTCTAATCTATATAAAAACGAAAAGCGAGAAACACTTATGAACCATACCAGCAAACGACAACTACTGAACAACAGGCTCCTGACCTAGGACAGGTGCATGAAAATGCAGCGGGTTTAAACGTTTTAACAGGCGCCAACCTTCACCCTAACCTTAAACAGTGGTGTAACATTACAACATAAACAGACACACAATAAAATATCAATTGAAATGGCTTAACTCGATCAAAAAGACATAATCACAAAAACAAGTAAATATACACTGAACGAATAAGTTTGATTTATGAAACAATATAAATACAATATAAATAAAAAAGATGTATCAATGTAAAAAAGACAACTTAAACCTAGGACAAAATGACGTTAAATAAAGTACACATGTAAATTTAAATATAAAAATTTTGTTGTTAGGGGTACAGAAACATTTTTACAAAACGAATTTGTTGTAGATAGTACGTGTACAGAAGTGAAAATTCATAGTCATACTAAATACTTATCAAAGGTGGTACATATTAAAAATAGTAAGACGAGATATACATGTAACACAAAATAAGTAAACATTAAATAACAGAAATACATTACACATTGTGTCAACTAGTCAAATTAACACGAAAGTACGATTTGAGAGTTCTCGCAGTTACTGAAAGCTAGTTAAAAGCCAAAACAATCAATAATAAAAAATCATGCATCAGAGACTAAAATCAATTAAAACACATCATATTTTTCTAGATTAATTACTGAGTCTGCTCTGTGACAATCGTCAGCATGTTGTTTGCATGGGTTGTTTCAAGCAAATAGAAAACACATTACAAATTTCTTACTTTACAGCTTTTAATAGTGATAGTTTAGATCTATCGTCAGATACGGATATCAACATTCCAGCTATAGTCCTCGGTATATGTGCTGCGTTAGTGTTTATTATTGTTGCATTGTCTGCTTTTATATTGTACCGGAAGTGCTACAGAAGACGAACTCATATACACCACGCACACAGGGATGTTCTTCCAGACATGATGTATCCTAAGAAAACGGCATTAGCAGGTACTATATTTTAAGACATTTTTCAATAGGACCTTCATAGTTATATAAATTAAGATTCGCGATAACGGTCACTGGGACTAAAGGTCAACAACTCTTATTCCGAAACAAAAATGTCAGTACTGGGCTTGTTTTAAAATTTTGTGTTATTCATCATATTTTGTACATATTCAGCAACGACAATATGTCTATAAAACTACAATTTTTTCCAATATGTGCGTTCAATTTAAAACAAAGATCCAAAATACTACTTTTCAACTCTATAGTTTGATGCTTTGTTAATTACATTACCTTAAAATTGTGATTAGGGAATGCCGCTATGCAAGAAAAGTCTTTTTATGACCTAACAATACACAAGAAACATTGCAACATATGTTTTCATCAAAGACATGAAAAACATATGTTGCAACTTTTCCTGTGTATCACGAATATAGTTTCAAATTTTAAAAATGAAAGCTATCATAACATCTAAAAAGAGGAGGAAGAAACAATGGAGGCAATGAAAAACTGAAAGTCGTAGAAAAACATATCACACCATTACCCCTAAAAAGACGAAAGGACAAACAACAGTCCACAGTTCTACACAGAATACTAAAGAGTGTGAGGAAGGGTTCGGAGATAAGTCGCATTTAGTGACGTCACAGTCGAGGAATGACTGATTATTATTATTCCAAAACTAGCAGAACACATTGTCGCTTACTAATATCAATTAACAAACACGCGATGAAACTAAATGTAATTACTAAGCAATGTATAGATTCAGATAAAATTCCAAAATGTATCATCATTATTCTAGCTAAGAATAGTTTAATTGGAATTCAAGGTAAATGAATGAAATCAAATGCACATTTTTTTAAATGGATTATATTTCCTTTACAAACGTATACTTTTGCACTGGCTTTTATTTTTAGGAACATAAATTTCTTTGCGGTCCCCCTCCCCCATTTTGGTATCCAAATAAATTATTGATAAAGTAATCATACTAATAAAGAACACCAAATTTCGATTGTTCATCAGGTTAAATAAACTTGCTGAGAAAAGAAGGGGCTGATTAAGTCATTTTCTTAATTTTTTTATTTCGCGATTTCATCTTAATAGCGTAATACATTTATTATTTGATAATGAATTTGTTTATTCTTCTTTTTTGGAGAGATTGAGTCAGTAGGATATTCTCAGTTTAATGACAATAATGTAATTAAAATTGATTCGTGATATTGTACAACTTTAACCGTAAAATTAACTTTAAGATGTACAAACATTTCATTTTAGATGCAGGTATTGGTGATGTGGTACTTCATTCACCAAGAATTTAAATAAAGATTCCAAGACAAATGATTTAGAGGGACACATTGGTGTGAATTGTAAAACAAATATTGATTTCAGTTAAATAGTGTTGTACAATAGTTTATTGTGAAAATAAAATCTCTTATTACTTGTTAAATGCTTTGTTCCTTTGGTGGAAATATTTTAAGAAATATGCTAGGTAAAAGATGGAAAAAGTATTCGCTGTTGATATTTTTTATTTGCACTCCCCAATATGTTTAAATTAACGGTATGATGATCTTGAATTAAATGTGCGGGGACTCCATTGATATGACGCATATCATCAAGTTTTACGCTATTCTTCCAAGTTCCATCAGTTAGACTTATCTAAGCAAACGCTTATAATACCAAAAGATCTAAAGAAAACACGAGTCAGCTTACAAATATCGCCGGACAACAAGGTTGTGAGCAATGCTTTATAAAATTTAATCCAACATGCAAACAAATGCACCTGGACTTGTATTTATCGTACTTTGCAATTGTCATAAACACAATCCCGTCCTCTTTTCCTAGCGAATTTGACTTATTACGTGGTCTGTACTTACATTATCAAACGGGTGCCAATAGTGTAGCAGGATCTGCTTACCTTCCGATCAGCACTTGAGATCACCCCCGGTTTTTGGTGGAGTTCATTCTTAAGTTTCTATGTTATGTTTTTGTACTTTTGTTTTTTCTTTTCGTCGTTTTATGTTTTTTGCCATGATATTGTCGACTTATGAGTTTGAATATCCCTTTGGTATCTTTCGCATCTCTTTTGTAAGTATTAGATTAATTTATTATTGTAGTAAAAGTAATTGAATAGATATATGTGCAATCTTTATCAAAAAAGAAGAACTCTTTAGAAAATAACACGATTTAATGATAAAGCTTTTAATTTGAATCTTGAAATTCAATAGATATGGAAGAATATAACAAACAAGATGAAAAATACACAATCTAACTGACATTTATCGTATTTGGTATATATTATAATAGACCAACATTTTACAAACTAAATATATTATATTTACAATTTTTATACATATTATGCACTAACAGTTGACAATCTCTGAACAAGCATACAGTTTTTTCATCTAATTTTCATCATAGGCTTAGCCTAAATTACGTTCAATATTCTTTTTAAATTATAATAAGGATAACAATGATATATAATACAATAATTAAGAGGTCAATGCAGTATGCTTTAAGCACGCAAAAGAATGGACTAGAAAACAAAAATATGTGTCAGACGTAACATTGGGAAGCTCATCATATACTTAGCAAAATAAAGCAAATGCTATATTTATACAATTTTATGAGTTTTTATCCTCTTTTTATGTTTGATATTCAATGTAGAGTGGTCTTGTTTTAGATCTCTGCACATTTGTTTTTAAACCAATATGAACCCTTCCAAAACTACAATAACTTGTCCCTGTCATAATATATACAATATGCATTTCTCTTTAAAAACAAAAATATATTACGCTTAGTAGTTGTAAATTTATGTTTAGAGTGTGAACCTCCCAAATCCACTATTAGCAAAATTTAAAATCAACAATGTAACAAAACAGCAACCATGATACTGTTACTAGACATTCAATGTGTAAAATCTGCAACCTTTTTCTCAATCAGTGTTCTTCAAACATATTACAGATACTGAATCTTATTTCCTTTCCATTATTTATGCATGATGAGGAATATAATGGCATACTCTTACAGCATGATATGGTCTAATCTGATGGCACTGGCTGGTCTAGCACCCATTTTTGTCGCTAAAATACAGTTTCAACAATGTTAATGTGTATAAAGCAATTTCAATGTACAATCAAAAGCTATTACAAAAGGAGATGAAAGAAAACTAAAAAAAAAAATGAGATGGTAGCATATTCAAAACGTCGAAAAAAATGAATTTCATGCTGAAGAGTATGAAGCAAAACAAAAAAAGATTATTGACCAAGTGTACCCTTATACAAGGGGATTCACCATGCGCCTTTTAATTATTCTTCCATGTCATATTCATTCTTTTATATCTTTAGCTTATACTGGATTATCTAAAATATTAAGTTTTAATATGGATTACTTAAATTAAATACATAATCTCGTATAAACTTCAATTCATTGCGATATTTGACCTTAAAACTGATACCTTCTTCTATTAAAAGGGTAGTTTGTTTAATTTGTTTAATGAGAGCCTAGTTATTAAATTTCTATAACATTGTATTATATGATAATATGAGACGGGTTCTACCTGATGAGATCCCGAAGGTTATTTGTTTTTAACAAGTAGATTTTGCTTTTTCTTTAAATTGTCATCCGCAATGTTACGTGACTCGCTCCGGTGCTAATCTCCATCTTCAATTCAATTTAACGGCCACAAAAATTATTTCGATATCGTGTGATTAAATACAGGCTGTAAAAAAATTTAATCAACTATATAGGACAGTAAAATTGTTTCTGCTACTTGAAGAGAGAATCGAATGTTAGTTCACAAATTGTAGAATAGGCACACATTTAATTAATGCCATACAAAATACATCAGTAGTCACACCAATGGCTACTTAAATGATTATTTTCTTAGAATGACAGGAACCATTGAGAAGGCTAGTGGATCCAAAGAATGAAAAATGACACATTTATGAAACTACAGTTTAAGAATATTTACATGTTTATCTCTTACTGATTGGTGGAATCGACGGTTGTTCCATGTCCGGAATTTGTGATCTGATGGCTTGTGACATAGGTGTTGATGGAGGAGCTGGTCTAGGGTAATCAGACAGGGGTACCAGTCCTCTGTCATCGTCGTCTGGTAGGTCAACTGAGAGAGCATCGCGGGCTGTCATTGGTTCTACAATCATATCAGATTCTGAAAAACGAACTGTTGTAATGTCATGCAAAACGCACGGTTACAGTGTAATGCATCACTATCTGTCATTGTGTTATAAAACTAAAGCATTGTTACAGTGTATGACAAAAATCTACTTTAGTGTAAGACAAACTTATATTGATATTAATTTAATAAATATTGATGCTACTATAACTACTGTTGTGCTTTTCAAACATAACGAATATAATGCTGTTAACACACAGCTGATGATTGTATGATGCTGAAATAGCGTCGACGCTACAGTGATCGTAAATAAGTCCTATTTTATTGGATGCTTGAATGTAATGATAAAAAAATGCTTAAATATTTTGTCAAAAAACTGTTTTTGAACACTGTGTAGGTAGCTTCTTTCGTTGAATGCAAAATATATGTTTTGGTATGAAAAAAAGGAATAACCTTAGATAATCAATATATGATCGTGTTTATAATATAGTGCAAAAGGTGACGACTTTTAATGAGATATATAAATTCCATTATGATGATAGAAACAGGAATTACCTTGAGATAAACTCGTTATTTTACAATAATGAACATATACACACCATCAAGCTCAAAAAGCTATTGAATAATTGCACATATGTAATGCAAAAAAATAATGCAGTCTAATGGATGATATCTTAGTAGTATAAATGCCAAATTTGATTACATTCTGACAATTATTAAAAAAAAGTTTGGAATGTTTTTATATTAGTATATCTGTCATGCTATTTGCAAAGTTTTTAAGAATTCAGTCAAAATTATATTAAGAAAATATTTGTTAGGAAATTTTTTTATCAAAATATGCCTTAATCTAGTAAATATAACTTGTATTTAGTTGAAATGAGACAACTGTTAAAGCTAACTGCCACTTTTGTGGTATTTTTTTCCTAATTTATATCTCTCTGGTGCGTAAATGAGAATTGGGCAATATGATAAGGGTACAGTCATAAAAATCATAATTGTGGGTAAATTAACTCTTAAAAGTTTATTTATTTCCATTTTTCTATCCTTCTTATTGGTTATGTGTACTTCTAAACAACTAAAAGTAAACTTAGACTTGACACCTTTGAATTTTTGAGACATTTTGCTCTTCATCATGTTCATATTTTTATATGTGATTGTATGTCATATTATGTCCCAGGGTCAACTCATTTTTGTGAAAATGCATCAATAAGGTACCCTCATTTGCATTCCTACAATTTCTTTTCTTTAATTTTCATTAGAAATCATATAAACTGTAAAAGAAAATGCTAATACCTGCCTCATATGCCTAAATATGGTCAAAATGTCTTATTTTGATAAATTTTGTGTAATTTCTGTTTTCTTTCTTGAAAAGAAAACTGACAAAGATCATTTTGTACCTGTAAGACCTTTCATTCCCAGACCACAATTATTCTTCCCATTGGTTAAAATGCATTTCTTTGTAAAAGTCAAATTGAATTTGCACCGGTTCAAACATGAAATAAATCTAACAGTCAATAGACCATTATTATTCTAATAACATATGCTTATCCCAGGAAAATCCATCTCTGCTTTTTGTTTTGAGAGCCCTATTAACATGCCAATGGTAGGATTTGAATCTTGAATAAATGCCAACGGTTAATTTCTACCCTACTTTTATTTTGGCCAAATCACTACTTTCACTTTCAACAATAATTTTTTACCCCATGTTTTACTTATTTCAATATATATGCAACTGATAGGACCACTTAAATAGTAAACTTTTCAAAGAAAACAGTAGTCAGAATACTTCGGAAGAAATACCCCATACAATACTTGTTCTATATTCCTAGACCACGAACAAAGGGAATTAATTGTGGTCTGGAGCCTGTAACCTAGAACATTTACTTAATGTATCTGCCTATTTCTTAATTCTTAATAAAGCAATTTCGAAATAATTGTATTATGAGGACTGATGTTTATCCATCTTTCAGGGTAATTTGTTCTTAATGGAATAAACTGGAAACATATATGAGGCAAAGTGGGAAAATATTTTAACTTAATATGCCCAGTACCGTGATGAACCGGAAGAATAGGTGTACCTTATCATGCCCAAAAAACAATCAATCAGCAAACCAGAAATGTTTGGCTTGCTCTACGATATAATGTTTCAATATAGAAGATACAGAAATATGTTAAGAGCATACGATATAGTTTCGATCCCACTGTGATTGTTTTACGACAATTTGCGTACAAACTATTTTTCACCTTGTCAATTCAAATATATAATAACAAATATACCTTCATGTTCTCATTGTAGAGATAAATGGGGTCGAAATTTTGGATATTTTCCTAAAATTTCGGTTTCTTGGACATTTCTATCCTTTGTATAGACATATTAAACTTTTTTGTTTCAAAAGATAAACACATGCAAATTTTTGTAAAACGATTTGGAATATCTACTTTACAAAAGTATCCTCTTAATTTGTGTAACAATTCTTTGGAAATTATTCATTTTTATTAAAATATTTTTTGCTGTATATTTATCTTATTTAAAAAAAATTCGTCGATGATTTCTTCATAAAAATTGGAATAAATAATCTTCATACAGTATCAAGTCAAATGTCATTTTAAAAAGGGGGGTTCATGTACTCGTTTTCAAGCTAATGATTAAAATCACTCCAAAACGCATCTTTTCCCGATATGTTGCAGTTTGACGACGCGAAAAATAACATTACCTCCCCTGTAAATGTATCGTATGCCCTTAATTTCTAAGAGTACACAAACGATGATTCACGGCAAACTATAAAAAAAAGCAAATTTAAGCTTTTTTTTTTTAATGTTCTAACTTATATTTTCAGTCAATACCTTTCCATTTACTCCATGTCAAATACTATACTCGTTCAAATTAAAATTTAGCATTAAGAAAATTGAAAATTAATACTTAACAAACACGTCTTAAATATAACCTCCATCAGGCGAACTCGAGAGCAAAAGTTTCAACAGCCAAAAAACTAACTGTCAAATAACCAATTAATATGTGTGTCGCTTAATTGTTTGTAGACGCATTTATTGTATAATCTATCTGCTTGGCATTAATTATAAACCTATAATGCTACATCACAATTGGGTTAACAGAGATGAAATAGTGTCACATGTTACATTGTATGAACATCAAATAGTTTGAAGGTACGGAAAACCAATCGAAATATATAAGGAATAACAAAACTGGAGGATTTCAAAAAAGAACATGTATATAATAACAACAACAACAACATGATTGCACATTACCGGATTTTATGTATAATGAATACTCTGTCATGGTATCTTCCTTGTCTCCTGACTCAAATGATTCAATGTCAAATGTACTTGGGTGAACTTGTGAAACAAAACAAAGATAATTAGTTCTAGTAACATAAATGTGTCAGAGTGTCGTATACATACAATGTGTATCAAGACAGAGTGTCGTATACATACAATGTGTATCAAGTAAGAGTATACATACAATTTGCCTTAATTTGTGTAATTATTAAACTCTCTTTGTTTTCAGAGATGAAAATAAAAAAAATATAACTCCATTATTACAATCAACACATTAAAACCAAACTATAATGTGTGCAAACTAAAACATTAGACTTGTGTATTTAGTTGAAAAGTAAACGTGCCAATCAATTACATTCAACACAAAATTGTTAATTCCTATTAGAGCGTATGAAGTATCATGTTTTACGTAGTCTAATGCTGGTTGTTTTGTCTTCATAATATCGATATAACTTGCTTTTTTTGTGGTAAGACAGAAATCCAAGTATTATATTAATCTATTTACCTCTCGTTCCCTCTTTAACTCTCCCATTACTTTCGATTGGCTTCTTCTCCTGGTCACTACTCTGGATTTTGGCTTCTTCGTTATTTTTCTTGTGTTTTTTGTAAAGAAAACAGGCAAGGAATACTATGAGTAGTATAAGCAGGATGGCAATTACAGCCGCTACAATAGGAATGATAGATATCCCTGCAGAGGAAGTCGATGAATCTGTGGTGAACGCTATAAAAGAATAAAAATATGTTTCATTCAATATCCCTATCTTTTATACATTGAAAGGAGTATTCGCCTTTTCCACATATTTAATACCGATATATTGGTTTAAATAAATAAAACTGCTAAGTTTATCTCTGTGCATTTCAGTTTGGAAATATTTTACTTCACGTTTCAGTATATATTTGTTCCCTTTTACTTCTAACAAAGCTTATTGTTAAAGGAGTTCCTTTTCAATTAAGCAGCTTACACAATTGGTAACAACGTTAACAACATTTATATCAATTTAATGTTACAAAACAATAACTTTAGTATAGCAAACAATAAAACAGTGCAAATGAAAATAACACTTGATACATTTCGTGCTTCCGAAGCTCTTTCGTGAGTTTACCTTCATCAGGACCGCTCTAAAGACCCTATGAGAAATAAGCTGTTTATGTTTTTCCTTGGCTTAAGGCATTAAATATATCTATAATCACAACCATTACTATATCTTTTGTTTTTTCAGCTATGTTTCCAAATCTAATAAGCATGTGTTTATATTGCCTTTACCTGAATAAATATTATTATTATCAATATATCTATTGTTATTAATACGGTTAACTTTGTCCGAGGAAGTTGCAAATTATGAATAGCTAAAAGAGATCTTCTATAGGTCATAATCAGGTTAAAAAAACATAGGTCAAGTAAAATTACTGAACTCAAAGTTATCAAATGAAGCAGAAGTGATTCAAAATAAGAAGGCACATGTAATTCAAAGGTACAATTAAGATGCAGGTTTCAGATTTAAAACATGGATGATGGAAGGTAAGTCAGGCTTATTTTGTTCACACTGTCTGAGTGATATACTAAAAAAAAAGTTTACAAACGACGGACGCCAAGTGATCGCAATAATGATTTATAGAATAATGAAAATCGCAAATATTTGCCCTTCGGGCCAAGTCTGGTGAACTTAAAAAAAAGTCACTCTAAATGAAATCACACAAAACTGTGCAATTGATAACACACTATCTCAGACACACATGTTGTCAAATAATTATACTCACGGCAAGTAACTATTTTATAACAAAAATTAAAAACATTAAATTCATATTTGATCAGCTAAACTCACACCATCTTTCCTGTTACTGTAATAAATAACTCTGTTAATATACATGTACAAGTAAAAATAAACAATATAAAATTTTCTTAAACCACAATTTCCCCTTAGACTTGATCTGGTTGGTAGTCATCTTATTGTCTTTGATAAACAAATTTGCAAATAAATTATTGGTTATTAATTCTCCTCTTGTCAAAGATTTTCCGGAGCTCTGAATGTCCATAATTGTATTTCATAAAGATGTGTTATATCACAGTGCGAAAACTGCTTTGTGTATGTCAATATTTATTCCTTCAAAAGTGTGGTTTTCTAAAAGAAGCCTTTCCCTTAAAGTAGGTTAAAGGTTAAAGAGAGTACAGAGCAAAACTGATTTTGACAGAATTTAAGAGATTGTTGGTACAATATCTCTTTTTATACCTATAAAGTATGTTTTCTATTGGTATTCGAATTACATTTTCTCACGAAATGTTCAAACATTTAGATTTCTTTTTTTGTACTATATTCCTTTTTCAGAATTAATGTATTGACTTACAATAAGGGGTAAGTGTTACTGTCCCGCCGTCTGTTGTTTTCACTGTAGATGATTGTCCAGCCACACAGTCCCCTGGGTTAGTACTTACATACACTGTACTTCCAGACTGGGTCACGGTCTATTAAGAAAATACAGGACACATTCATCATGACGTAAAATATCTTTCAATATGAATGTTTGATTGAAATAATACCAGAAAATTATTAAATAAGCAAAACAAAATCATACATACTTTTACTGAAAACACATTTTTCTAAGTTCAACGGGTAAGAGTAGCTTTATATTCAAAACAGAATTATTGTCATTCATGAATGCATGCATTTTTAAGTTGAATCGGTGAGTGTCAAAGTGATACAATCAGTATGATAAATAGGTTTATTATATTTCATTTCAAAAGCCAGATTTTGATTGGTTAATACGAGGGTGATAATATACACTATCACATGGCTTATATTTTATTATCCTTCACGAAGACGCTTGATCAGTTGTGCGATTTGTTTAATACGGATGGTTGTTATATACAAGACGTCATAGATGATTGCTTTTAATTAAAAATTTAAAAGACAGTAATAACTGAACATTCTGTACAATAAATTGAATAACACATATCTGCGAGGGAGATAGAGCAGATTGTTACCCCTCGAAAAAACATTGTCAACCTTGTCTTCTCCTCGCTTGACAATGTTTTCGGTTTGGTTGTATTCTAATCAAAGGGTCCTTCTTTTGCATAGAATTGATGGAATCAACAGTTTATTGATCCCACCCACCATCTTATGTTTTTGCAAATAATGTTGTCGCTTTATTTACTGCACGCTCAAACTAAAAAGATTTTTCTTTGGCATATCATACAGGACCTTGAAGATAAAACTATTTACTAAAAGCGCTGTAACATTGACATATCAATCTGTTATTGTACTTTCATGGGTTTCCTGTGTCATGTTCATTATCTTCAAATAGAAACTTTCCCAGTCTTATTCTTAGCCATCCTTATAGCTGACCAGAAGAATAGTTGGTTCTTCATCGAGTGCTCCAGATATATTTGTCAACAGTTTCAGTGAAGAGGCATTTGTTGCTGCTATGATATTATGTGTGCTTATAAAGTATAATCAATATTTTAAACATGTAGAGGAATATTAGACTTACCATACATGTAAATCTATACGTTGACGGACTGGTTACTGTGGTATCTAGATTTAACACAGAGACATAGTATGTGGATCCACTACTTAGGTAAGTTGCACAGTTTAGCTGACCATCCGCTATGAAATTTAACAAGATAACATGAGTTTAATTTTTTCCAAACCATTAATATATTTTTTTTGTCAATATAACAGAACTATAACTGTCATATAAGTGGGAGGTTCCGCTAGCTATAAAACCAGGTTTAACCACCATTACCAAAATGTCTGTACCAAATCCGGAATATGGCAGTTGGTTTTGTTTCACTTGTTCTGTTGATAAATGGCATTGGATTTTGTCAGTTTATATAGACTTACCTTTTTTGAATTTTCCATGGAGTTCGGTATTTTTTGTTATACGTTTTTGCTTCTTTGATACAAAATCCAACTGTTAAATCTTAAAACGTTATTATAAACATCCATCATCTTAATCACCACCTACATTAATTTTCTTGATGACATTTGTTATTACACTTTTTCCTCAGGACACGCTAAAAGTCAATCCCATAAGAAATTCCAAGAACTCTCTAGCATTGATACAACTTGAATGTTTACCCTTCCGGAGCACCTGAGATCACCCCCAGTTTTTGGTGGGGTTCGTGTTGCTCAGTCTTTAGTTTCCAATGTTGTGTTGTGTGTACTATTGTTTGTCTGTTTTTCTTTTTCTTTTTTAGTCATGGCGTTGTCAGATTATTTTCGACTGATGAGTTTGAATGTCCCATTGGTATCTTTCGCCTCTCTTTTATAATAAAGGTTGTAATCATGAATCGACTAGCCTATATTGCACATTTTGGTCAGGCTGACAGACTCTGTTAAAGAGTCATACTGACGCAAAAATTAAAAGCACAATTCCTCCTCTTTTGTAACCTTTTGAAAGTTAGAGTTCGTAGTATTTTGTTCTGATAGGTGTAAATTTTGACACAGTTGTCTGTATTATACTTACAAGAGAATAAGACTTTAGTACTACATAGTGTATAATTAAACACAGCTTCTGTTCTGTTTGTACAATCGTCCCACACAGAGTTAACTCCACAGGTATCAGTACTACCGTCATTGTACGTGTAATAAAAATTACCTAACAATGGGGTAGGGAACCATTGTTTCATATTTGATTCATAGCCTGTAATAAAAACGTAGCAATTCAAAACAAATTACCAATGAAGTGCGTCTTTTTATACAGTTAAAGGGTAAGTATTATGTTATTTTCAATTATCTATTAAACGGAGACCTTTCGAAATCTTGGTTATATTTAATTTTATAGTGCATATAAATCCTTTTACTGAGGTGATCATTAGTAACTGATTTGACCTTGACATGGAATTCATCTTTACCTGTATGTGAAGAAGGGGTTACTGAAATGTTTACTTGATTTGATCATGACACAGAATTCCTTTGTACTGGCATGTAAATAAGGTGTTACTGAAAAGTTTACTTGATTTGATCATGACATAGAATTCCTTTGTACCTGAATGTGAAGAAGAGGTTATTGAAATGTTTACTTGATTTAATCATGACAAAGAATTCATTTGTAACTGAATGTGAAGGGGTTACTGAAATGTTTACTTTATTTGATCATGACACAGAATTCCTTCGTACCTGCTTGGGAAGAAGGGGTAACTGAAATGTTTACTTGATTTGATCATGACAAAGAATTCCTTTGTAACTGAATGTGAAGAAGGGGTTACGGAAATGTTTACTTGATTTGATCATGACACAGAATTCCTTTGTACTGGCATGTAAATAAGGTGTTACTGAAAAGTTTACTTGATTTGATCATGACATAGAATTCCTTTGTACCTGAATGTGAAGAAGAGGTTATTGAAATGTTTACTTGATTTAATCATGACAAAGAATTCATTTGTAACTGAATGTGAAGGGGTTACTGAAATGTTTACTTTATTTGATCATGACACAGAATTCCTTCGTACCTGCTTGGGAAGAAGGGGTAACTGAAATGTTTACTTGATTTGATCATGACACAGAATTCCTTTGTAACTGAATGTGAAGAAGGGTTTACTGAAAAGTTTACTTGATTTGATCAAGACACAGAATTCCTTTGTACCTGAATGTGAAGAAGGGTTTACTGAGATTATTACCTGATTTGACCATGCCACAGAATTCCTTTGTACCTAAATGTGAAGAAGGGTTTACTGAGATGATTACCTGATTTTACCATGACATGGAATTCCTCTGTACTTGGAGGGGTTGAAGGGCTACAGTACGTGGATACCGGAAATGTAGTTACTGCTGCATCGTACAACTCTACATAGGCTCTCTCATTGTTTGCGTTTGCTTCAGTGTCTGTAAGAAAAATTGCAGTTTATAAGCCTCTGCATGGAACTGAAATGGTAGATGGATCTATTTGTGTCTGTTAACAATGACCCTGAATAATTATCTGCAACATGGCAATTAAATATCCTATCCCGCTTAACAAATCAAACAAATCTAAATAATCCGTTCTTTGCAGACTCCCAATACTGTTCGTTGATCGCATATGTATATGTCAAAATAGTTAATAGAGTAGTTAAAACACACCTTATCCTTATTGTCCGCCAGTATTAGAAATCACAAACGTGTACACTGTTGATATCATAAGAGAAAAAGTCTGACGTCACAATAAAAATGTATTGTGTTGTAAGACGTCAATCGTTCAAGTGTCGCAAAATCTCGGATGAAGTAGCAATAAAGTCTATTGGATTGAAGCAAACACCTGACGAGTCGCATGACAATATAGCTGATAAGTAAAACGACTGCAAGTATATTTGTTTTTACGAAGAGAGATACGTTACGTAATTAGTTTATTCTGAGTAATTGTATTTACATGCACAAAGTATGTTGTTGCATTGATAGTTACTTATAATTACAAATTACTTCTTCCGACATTGGTTTAATCGACTTGCTATATGTTGATATTGATTGCTCCTGTGAACTTACGTTCCTGAGTTACCATATGTTGATGTGTTGATCTCTTATTTTACCTTGTTCATGATTTGTCATATGCTGATCTCCTTTTGTTTTACTTAATATGTTCATGATTTTTCATATGTTGGTGTGTTTTCATTCATGTTTCTTTTTTTCATATGTTGGTGTGTTTTTATTTATGTTCCTGATTATAAGAAGTACACCATAACATGTTTTGTTATATGAGGTTTAGTAGTGACAGTGTTCATAAAATAGATCAACATTGGCAATTCAGAAACATAAACAAGAGAGAACAACATTTGGCAAATCAAGAACATGAGTTCACATAAGACATCAACGTGTGGAAAATGGGGGACATAAGTTCGCAAAAAAGGAAATCAACATATGGCAAATCAAAAACATAGGTTCACATTAGAGATCAACATATGGCAAATCTCAAAAATAAGTTCACGTAAGAGATCAACATATGGCAAATCTCAAAAATAAGTTCACGCAAGAGATCAACATATGGCAAATCCCAAAAATAAGTTCACGTAAGAGATCAACCTATGGCAAATCGGGAAAAACATGGATGCTGGAAGTGATAATTGGTGGGTTTTGTTACGGAATCCTTACATGATTTGATCATCTTATTGCATAAAGAGCTTATAAAAAAGGCTGTAAATGCAAAAGATATAACACGACCTCGGTTAACTTCCAATTTTCTAGGCAATCTTCAAAAACACCATATACTTAGTTTTTCTTTGTTAGCTGATTTAAAGGTGTAACTTACAGAATTATAGTGATGTCCAAGATATTAGATATAGCAATATTACCTTAGTGTTCTATGGGTTACGAATACCTTTTCCCCAAACATTGCACTGTTTACTGTGCTTTTCATATAATAATTCACACCAATGGGATATCATATGTTTCTATAATTCAGTAATCTAAGACTTATACTCACCTGAATAGAGATAGTAGTAGTAACTATAGTCTGTAATCTTCGTATACTTTATACAATAAAATGCGTTGTAATCGTTGGAGAATAACTGCACAAAGGAATCACCTCTAAAATAGAAAATCATGTATCGACTAAAGCAATACCAACACATGTAATGGTTAAAGAAAGTAAAGAATGACAATTAAAACAAAAGTCTGAATATGGATATAGACATATGATTAAGACGCAAGAGGATTTTACATTGCTGTTTCCATTTTGTGTACCCCTGTATTAATGTTTCATTAATTTGTACTTTATCGAGAAAGTGTATACTATATTTGGTATGTACTATCAACTATAAAAACTTTTTTGTTGACATAATTGTCAAATTTACTATCAACTAACACCCGTTGTTTGCGTCTGTTTGTTCGAATTTTGTAGTAAGTTGTGTTGTATGTCTGTGATGTATGTTTACACAGTGTTGGCCGCTGGATCCCAATTATTGCTACATTAACCTATTATTTCTGTTTGGGTTGCCCAACAAACTTTGTCAATAAAACGGAACTATAAACAACAGTTACTGTCATACAAGTGAGAGGTTTATTTAACTATAATACCAGGTTTAACCTACCATTTTCTTGTACAAAGTCAGGAATATGACAGTTGTTTTCCACTCGTTCCGTTGGTTGATAACGTTTGATTTTTTCACTTTTTATGGACATACCCTTTTTGAATTTACCTTAAAGTTCAGTATTTTTTTAAAACTTTTTCATGGTAACTTAAAGTCTTTCATAGCATAGGATGTGGATTTCTGTTTACAATTTTGTTTTGCTATGATCTGGTGAAAACGTTTGGAGTGCCACACATGTTAAGCGTTATAAAATGAAGAAGTAACAATTGCAAGTTTAATCTATATGTGTTTCGGATCCCTAAGATAAAAGAAAGCCAAAATCTTTTTTTTTTTTATATATATTTTCACTGCAGGGGTTACCAAAATAGAATAAAAGAAAGAAAGACTTGAAAAAAGTTTAGACTTGGAATGACGTCTAAAGCACGAAAATGGAAACACTACGCAAATCGATTGAGCTTGAAATGACATTACTTACTTACTTAAACAGGAAGTGCCTAATCATATGTTTACATTTTGTTTTGCTATGCTTCAATGTTAAAATAAAGCACAAGTTTAATATATATGGATTCGGATCCCTAGAGTAAAAAAAGGCCAAAGTGTTTTTTTTTAATTTTTCACTGCAAGGGTTGTCAAAAGAAAATAATGGAAAGACTTAAAAACAGTTTAGTCTTGGAAAGGTGGGTAAAGCACAAAAGTAAAAAGCCTGAATACGCAAACCGATTGACATTGAAAAGATTTTACTTACTTAAACAGGTAGTATCCAGTGTCCTCTGTAACACAGGTAAATGCCGAAACTGATGAGGAGTACGATGACAATGTCCAACCAGAGGTTACTTGTGCGTTGTTGTGGTCGAAAACAACATCTCCCCTGTAACTATCGTACCACGTGCCGTCCCATTCTGTGGGCAGACTACATGTGCATTCTGTTAAACAAATAAAATATTTTCTAAAATCGTATAATGGCATCCTGAATACGTCTGAATACAATGATTTGAGCTAGACAACATTCATTTTGTAATAAATGACCTTTCATTCCTTTTCAGCCAATACCATTGAATAACTATTAGTATTGCATCTGCAGTCGTAGATATATCATTAGTTACATGGTGTGTTAGTAACCTAATACGGTATATATGGGGTCAGTAAATTCCATATGGGGTGAGAACTCATTATCCTACATCCTGCCGATACTGTTCACGTATATTTTGGAACTGCACAAGGCCATGCGTTTCTCATACTGTTTATGGCGTCTTTAAACTAAACCCGTTGGATGTGTTTTGATTGATACTTTAGCCTGGGAGAACATGGTTATGTATTAGTTGTAATCGGCTTTGAACTAGTTGTCAGTAACTGCGAGTACCCTCAGATCTGTACTTTGTGTCTTTTTTGTTGTGGGGGTGTATAAATTCACTGCCACGTCCGGTCTGTGTTTTCATTAGTTGTTTTTCTGCTTTGTCTCGATCTGATTAGTTAAGCCCTTTTCAACTGATTTTTAAAGTTTTTTTCTTATGTTGAACTGTTTAACCACTGGCCCAGACAAGGGAGAGGAATTGACGCCAGCAAACATGTTTAACCCCGCCACATTTTTTAGTGCCTGCCCCAAGTCAGGAGCCTTTAGTTCAGTGGTTGTCGTTAGTTCATGTCTGTCATATTTATTCTTTTCGTAATTGTTTTGTTATATAAATTAGGCCGTTAGTTTTCCCAATTGAAATGTTTCACAGTTATCATGTCGGGGTCTTTTATAGCCGACCATTGTTGAAGACCGTACGGTCAATGGTATTGGCTGAAAAGGAATGAAAGGTCATTTATTACAAAATGAATGTTGTCTAGCTCAAATCATTGTATTCAGACGTATTCAGGATGCCATTATACGATTTTAGAAATGAGTTCTTTAACTGTACATATAAAGCGATAAACAAGTCTAAATTGAAAACAACGTCCAAACCTATGATTGCGTTGGATATAAACCGCAATTTTTATACGTGTACATGTAAAACAATTTTCTTTGTAGAGGGGTCTAAATACAGCACAAACAACATTTTCCAAAAGACCAAAAAGTGAAAAAGTATATTCTAACAAAACGCATTTGACTAACAGGTCGAACAACTGATGTTCTTAAACCCTGCTGACTGACATTGGCACTAGTTTTAACGAAATGGATCTTAATATTAATTTAATACCAAACAGTAAACAATAAACTTGCGGAAAAGATTGTATACCACAAACATGAGGTGCAAAAATTTGTACTCCATATCCGGATTTCGACAATTAATGTCTCTTCAGTGATGTTAGGGATCGAAACGGTATTTGGAAGGCCATATAATTTACCTCAATTTAGGATAGATTCTTGAATTTTAAGAGCCGAAATAGGATAAACGGATCATATAAACCCGAGGGAAAATATAATACAAGCCCAAACGAAAAAATATAAACAAGACTAAATTGAAAACAACGTTCAAACCTATGATTGCGTTGGATATATTTAGTTATGTTGTAATTTTTCAAAAACAAAATTCAGGTTATACTCATAAAAAATGTTTTAATACTTTACTACTGTGTTGAATTGATAACTTTTAAAAATGAGTTTATTTGAAAAATCAATTAGTTTACATGGACCGTATCTAAATTGACGGGCTCGGTAAACAACATCGCCGTAAAAATTAGGATGTGATATCCCGTTTTTAATTAGAACTAGACAGGTACAGCCAAACTTCCTAACCAAATTATTGTATCTATAAAAGAATTTGGTAAAAGTTTTGATTAATTTGTAGTAACGAAATCTCTGACTTAATAATTTATCTGTTATTATACATAAATTACGTTCATTGAAATCTTACGCGACTACACGGGAATAGCAAACAAGTTGTGAAATATACACATGGTAAGAAGGGGCGAAAGATACATCACCGTTCAAAAAGAGAAAATTAACAATCAGGAACGAAAAATCGGCTCTTTTGTCGAAATTTTTTTAATAGAGTTTTTCCCGTGTGAAACTGAAATATCCAAATCTAGAACATACCTGTTTTAAATTCTACGTTCATGAACTAAGACATTATGAAGAAATTAAGGTTATAACTCCCTCAAGCAAAGACAAAAAATGATTAAGTCACTTATGTACGAGTACAACGTCAAGTGAATATCTATATGACTAAAAGGGACATAATGATAATATCCAAATTCTTCTAAGGTCATATTTATAGAAATAAGGAGATTTGGTATGATTGCCAATGAGACACATGTCCATCACAGTTCAAATGACGAAGGTAAAAACAATAATAGCGCACAATGAGAAAAACCCATATCGTATAGTCAGCTAATTATAAAAGGCCCTAACATGAAAAATGTGAAAAAATTCAAACGAGAAAATTAACGGCCTAATTTATACAATACATTGTTTTCTGTTTTCTGCTCTTTGGTCGAGTTGAAGTCTCTTTGACGAATTCCCCGTGTCCATTCTCAATTGCCTTTTACGAAAAACAAATATGACAGTTATTAACTAACGACTATCACTGAATTACAGGCTCCTGACTTGGGACAGGCACATAAAGAATGCGGCGGGGTTAAACATGTTTGTGAGCACCGAATCCCCCCTAACCTTGGACAGTGGTGTAGCAGCAAATAAGTGTAGTGGTGACTTAAATCAATAAACCGTGAATTCCTTCCTGAAGGACACCAAGGATTGTTAAATCCGATTGTCACTTTAATAATTTCTTCTATAGCATAAATACAGTTAAAAGTATTAGTAAGATTTTATAATCGGCTTATGACAACCTAGGTAATAACAATTGTTACATTTAAATTATGCATGATGTATTGAATTAAATGCAAAACTTTGATACACATTTAAAATTTAGTGACCCGGGAGGATTTATTGTAATATATGAATTGCTTATATTCATTTAATTTAGATTTCTTTCCGTACTGCTATTCGTCAGGTTGAAAGATATAAGAAAATTCAGGTATAAACGCTTACTTCGACTAGTTCTACAAATCGGCTGACCTCGTGGCTAATAGACAAAAGTACAAGATTTTGGCAATTATTTTGAACTAGATACTCCAAGTAGCCCGTATCGCTAAGCCTTTATGTTTTGCATAAAACTGATACAATATAACAATACTATTTGCGTTGAATGAAATTTGTGCTAGAATCTTGCCTTGCTGACCATTTTTGATGGACATAGGTTTTATATATCCACTATAGTTTCTAAATGGAAAAATAGTTTAACATATGATCTAAGGCCAACAACTCCTGTAAGGAGTTGATGGATGATTTCTATATAGCTTTTGTGTTGCTGATCATTTTTGCTATTTTCAAGGTTCAGTCTATCTATTATTGTTTTCAATAAATATGATGAAAACACTGAAATTAGTCAAAAATCATTTTTAAGAACGATAAACTCTAGAGGAGTCCGTAGAAAACTTTAGCCATTGCTACATTTTACATCTTTATAGTTTTCAAGATAATAGCCAAAACGCAAAAATGTCAAAATCGTCATTAAAGGACAGTAACACAAAATCAACATTTTCATGTCGGGGCATATTGTAGCCGACAATACGGTCGCTATAAGTGCTTACATCCACCCATTTGAACTTTGGTGGATAGCTGTCTCATTGGCAACATACCACATCTCCTGATTTTTTATAATCTCGTTCGGGAATTCTTTTCAAAACATGAAATACAAATGGAAAATATAAAAAATATTATAATGAAACTAAACTCTGTGAAAAAAATGTGTACTTACAATAAATAGTTTTTGAATAATAAAATTTTCAAATTTAATAACCAATCCGGTCAGTGTCATCAGCCAAAATTTTGAAAAAATAGGTGAGGAGTACAAAGAAATGATTTTACCAAAATTACGTATATTTCATGTCATTTTGTTTTCAAAATTCTTAGATATGTATTTTTTCAATCATTTATAGCAAAGAAGTTGAAATAATATGCTTTTTGTTCTAAAAAAAAGATAAAAATCCCAATTTTACAAAATTGACAGCATGGTCAATTTGACACGAAAAAGCATTAAAGTTTTATAAAACTTTCTTATATTAACACCAACCTATAGTTTTTTTTTAGGTTAAAGTATGAAAAAAGTTTAATTGTAAAACTGTGATTTCTTTCATGATAATAGCCCAAAATGGGTAAAAAATGATGAACAATGGGAAAATCATTAGAATGGGGTACTTTCAAGTGGCCGTAGCAAAAAAAAAGAAGTGCACCATCATATGATTTTTTCTTCATCAATTACCTTCTTACAGTCATATAAACCCAAAAATCAGGTTAAGAAAAAAAGTTAAATTCTAGAAATCTTTGGCTCCTCAGAGGTGTACATCCTTAAAAGAAAATATTTGACTGCTTGTGGCTAGGTTTTGTTCCTGTCGTCCAATTAGTTTAAAAGAAGGGGAATTTTGTAAGAGTTAACGGACGACGACTGACGTCAAGTTATAGGAATAGCCCTTTGGACTAGCTCACCTCATAAGGGAGAAAAAACATCATGGGATAGTCAAAAATCATAAGTTGAAGACAGAAAAACAACACCATTACAAAAAGAAAAAAACAAGGACAGATAAAGAAGCCCACAAAACACTAAACAGAAAACTAAAGCAAGCAACAAATAGATTGTATTAACGGGAATAGTTACTGGTATGTCAAAATACTGTACATTGTATACCCTGTCCTCTTCCGAAAATTGAAGAGCAGACGAGAACAAATTTGAATAAAAAAGAGAAAATTTGAATACTTACCAATTGATTTGACTGTTAATGAAATCCATATAAAAAATATAAAAACGCGAGTCATTGCGTGTTAAGCTGTTCAAAGTATATAACAGAATTACTGAAAACGTTGAAAACTCTTCAAGTCACAGAATTGTTTATTTGTCTGTCATAATACCATGACTAAACCATATTGGCATCATCAAACATCGTGTCCGGTCTGTCCTGACGTCGGGTGGCTATAGTAACAATAGTGTATTGGAAGAGTTAATCAGGATTAATGAAAATAATCTAAATCTCTGTTAATATTTAAGGTTTAAAATATACATGTGCTTTATTCATATGTGAACATTTCTCCATAGACTGATTGATACACAGTCTTAAAACACACGCACTTTTAATCTTTATTGCAGCCTAAACCTTCGTAATTATATGTAATTGAATTCATAATATCACATATTACATTGTCATTTTAAGGATTAGTAAGAATATATTTAAATTATATACTGGAGACGTATCATATTCAGTTTCGTGTATTCTTATCTATATAATGAACGTTTATATCAATGCAACTGAAAGCGTTTAAAATTTTTGTTAATTATTTTTTTTTATATGTAAAACCATAGCAGAAAGAAAATTAATTTCATGCATTCTACATTGAAACCGTACAATACAAGTTGTCAGTAAAGATACATCATTGTAGGAATTTTTTGTGAATTAGATATTCAAGTATTTTAAAATATCAATTAGTGAATTATTGTGTTACATTGTTCACATCTACCTACGTGTAGTGTCTGGTTGGCGGACAGTGTTAAATATTTATCAATGTTCAAAGAGAACAATTAATGTTCATTCTGTAAAGTAGGTCGGCAGACCTGCTGAAAAGGGTAGGGAAAATATGGACAGCTACTAGAAAAAATATGCTACGTTGAGTAGCTGCATATTTTGCCTTGGAACAGGTTACTTACAGATCACTAAATGTATTCTCCAAAATAACAGTTAACGTCACCATTCCGATCGGACGTGTTTGTACTTTTATACTTCAAACAATGTATCTGGATGTCATTTTAGCACGAGTCGTACCGTCAGTTTTGGTTCATATAAAACATATCTGTACCCAAGTCTCCATTACTGATTTATAACATCATGTACAAAATATCTGGGATAGATATACATGGTGAATTTAGATGACCCTCAAAACTGATAGAAATAAAATATTTGACCACAATTACTCATAAACTTTACCGTTACAAAAGGATAAAAAAAAGGCAATGACACATCATATTCTCAAAAACCTACATAATAAGTTTTGTTTGGAGGGTAAAATCTCACAGTAAATGTTCTGGAAGCCGCATACTGCTATTTCAAATATATTCTGATTCTCAGGTTGGATAAAAATTGAATAAAATGTTTAACCCCGCCACATTTTGTATGTGCCTGTCCCAAGTTAAAAACTTTAATTCAGTGGTTCGTGTCCGTCAAAATTATTGTTATAAATTAGGCCGTTATTTTTTTAGTTTGACTTGTTCCACAATTTTCAAGTCGGGCCTTTTATAGCTGACCTTACGGTATGGGTTTGTTTTTATTGTTGAAGGCCGTACGGCTGCCTATAATTGCTTATATCTTCGTAATTTGAACTCTATTGGACAGTTGTCTCGTTGGCAACCATACAACATTTCCTTATTAGTATATATACAACATGTATGTTATAGCGATGTATATTAGCATTGTCTTGGTGTAAAACAGTTATATTATCAATTTTTAATTTATATTCTACTAATTAAATAGAAAAAAGGTAAATATTAGCATGTCCTTTCAAAACTGACAGTTAACGTAATTGTATACATACTATTATTTATGTGCAGTAAATATCTGTAAGTTGAGATCATCACTAAAGAAATCAATCGTCAATGAACAATTCAAAAGATATGTATCAGTAACAATTCAAATCAACCAAAAAATTTAACACTGAGTTTTCAACAAAGGATAATGTCTTGTTATTTATTTACTTATGTTTTTGGAAACAAGTGCATACAGTTTCGTTTTAAAATTCTAAAAACTGTATTTGTGTGACTTTAACAATATGAATTGCGTAGAGTACAGTTATAATAAATTATAGTAAAATTTTCTGCAATAATGTTAATTAGTTAATTAAAATTCTTGTATAAATGACAATCATGGAATTCTTTATAAAGCTGGTAGCGTATCTAGGAATCTTCGTTAGATTTTCCGGTATGTATTTTGTAAGCGGTATTGGACACCATATTCATTTTAATAATCAAATATTTTATTTCATTAATTTTTTGTAATTGCATTGTAGTTTTTGTTTACACTAATGACTTCGTAACGCCATGAGAACAATATGTATAACAAAACAGTATGATAAATTCAAACTAACGGACACGTTTCGTTTCACCCACTAACATTACGTGCATTTCATTTGTTAAAACAATCGCCACAGTATATGTTGACCCCTGTTAATGTTATTTGAGGGACCGGTATTATATAACAAATGCTTCTTGCTCCCACTGACCGTCAGTCTGTGGTGGACAGTGGTATGAAGGTAATTACCTTTATAGTTAATTCCGGTATTATATTACATATACTGCTTGTTCCAACTGGCCGTCAGTCTGGGATAAACAGTGGTATGATAGTTACTACCTCAATATATGAACGGTATTATATTGCAAATACTGCTTGCTCCCACTGGCCGTCAGTCTGGGATGGACAGTGGTATGATAGTTACTTCCTCTATATATGAACGGTATTATATTACAGATACTGCTTGCTCCCACTGGCCTTCGGTTTGGGATGGACAGTGGTATGATAGTTACTTCCACGAGGAGTCTTCAAATGGAATAATAACATTCTCACAGAGTGATAAAAAAGTGACAACAGGATGGACCTTATCATTATTTAGTACAACCATGACAGAGTTTACATGTGTTCTCAGCTCTAGTGAATTGTTGGTTTTTCAGTAAGTTTTTGTTAGAATTCAGACAAATGAAATACAAATGTTTTCAGCATCTATTTAACTGCTGGTTTTGAAATAAATTTTGGAAAGAATTATGCATAATGTACTCGTGTTCCTTGCTCCGAAGTTAAAAGTTGGTATTTGAGTAAGGTTTAGCTATATTTCGGCAGATATATGTTTAGCTCTGATTGACTGTTGGTTTTTTTATCATTTAATTTTGCCCAATATAGCTAAAACATCCATCTCTTCTGAACTTTGGTAAAACGCAGGGTATAATTCAAATATTTTAGACGGTACCGAATAAGAAAATATTGATACAGTTTAATATGAAATAAAGAGATGTGGTGGACTACGATTGTCAATGAGGCAACTATCCAACAGATTCCAAATTAAGCGGATTTAAGCAATAAAAGGTCAACGCACGGCTCTCAACAATCAGCAAAACCCAGACAACTCACGGCCCTCAACAATCAGCAAAACCCAGACAACTCACGGCCCTCAATAATCAGCAAAACCCAGACAACACACGGCCCTCAACAATCAGCAAAACCCAGATAAAGCCCAGACATGACAAAATAAACAAAGTGTATTTACTCAAAATAAAGAAGTAAAAAAGTCACATTGATTAAGGGAAATTAAACAGTTAAATATAACTGTACTTATTTGTGTACCATTGATGCAGATACTATTCTGGTTTATTTTTTCTTCAAATTCTAGCAATACAATCAGAAAAATATATAATTAAATCCCTCTCCCCCACCACAAGATAAAATGTTTCTTCCATAATAAAATTACAGACAAAGCTAGACTTTTAAGTCCGTTAACACTGAGTTATGTAGTGACATCAGGTCCAAAATTTGTATGCCAATAGTTCATTTAGACTGTGAAAATTTTAGTTAGTTAGATAACTAAATTAAGAAACAAATTTCTAGAATTATTTGGTATTTCAGTTCTGTTGATTATTAGTAACACTAGTAGAACAATTGGTGTTTCACGTTTTAGGCTGTTTTTATGTTTTCTTGTAGTTAGCTAAACCTTTGTTTCATCTTAATAAATAACTGGCCTTTACAAATGTCTCAATATCTGTACAGCATAATTACACTGTTAAAATAAAATTCATTGAACAAGCTTTAGCTGAGTAAAATTAAAAAATAAAATTTCAAAAATAAATTACATGTCTTCCGACAATATTTATTTAAAGTTAAAAGTTATATTTAAATTCATGGCTTTCAGGGAATACAAGATTGGATACCGATCCCCGTTTTCTTTCGATTTCATAAAGCAGTGTATAAGTTTTTGATTAATTTTAATATTTATTAAGTTTTATAATTTCCTCCTAAACTGAACACAACTTTTATGGCTTAATATACGGCATGGGTTTTGCTCGTTGTTGAAAGCCGTACGATGACCTATTACAGTTGCAAACATTTCGTCATTTGTTCTGTGGTGAATAGTTGTCTCGTTAGCTTTTTATTTTCATACATTTGTGCAAAAGTTATCTTTCGTGGCAAAATCACAGATTCTTTGATTCATTATTATGTAAGAAATTGTTGAATATTTTTTATAAATATTTTTAATGATATGATTTATTGTTCGGGCATTTGCCATTCAATAAAAATAATTTCTCGGTTTTGTCTTTATGTTAAAAACATTGTAAAAATGTATGTTACTGACATGACAAATGTTTCCTAGTTATGAACAGGCTATCGATTTTTTTTATATAGCGTTAGTCGGGATAGTCCAGTGTGCACAGTGTTTTAAGCAGACATTATTTAAAAGTATTTTAGGAATTCAATATTGTTCTAATCAACAGCTAACAATATGACAACATATTATAAAAACATTTCTGTCACATTTTTTACAGCAAAGATTTTATAAAGGATATGGTACAGTTTGGGACACAAATATATTTTTAGATAACATATCATCTTACCTCCTATTAACTATGCACAGCTAGTAGTAGCAGAGACATATACAATATTCGTACAGTGTAGGAAAATATAAAATACATTTGACAAGCTTTAGAAACAAAGAGAAAAGCGAGGCTGGTCGAGTTTTTCTCCTATTTCGTAGTGAGTAAAAATAATTTTATATTCTCCTACACTGTACGAATATTGTTTTTATTCTGTAATTTAACATTGAGCTTAAACGTTTATTTTTATCCCTTCCGAATCGTTGTTGAATGAAATGGACAAACGAACACTTTATTTAACTAATTATCGACCCATGGGCATGTTACATATTATGATTACAGAAAAGTGAAAAAAGCAACAAAAAAACAAAAAACAAAAACGATAATGGTTATGATAACATGGAGTTAACTATAGCAATTGTTTTCTTATTGTAAAACATTTATAACAAACTAAAGCCACAGTGTTGCATATTTCTTCATGTTTACAAGAAAGAAGACTTAATCGACATGGCTTATATGTGAACCGGAAAGACGGCTAGGATGAAATTTGAAAAAAAGGCAGGACAGAAGTTTTTAGTAAAAAAGAAGGCAGGATGAGCAACTTGGCAAAAAAAGAGGCATGATGACAAATTATGTATCAAAAGTCAGGATAAACTAATAAAAAAAAAAGGAAGGACCGAATAAAGTGAAAAATAAAAAGACAGGACCGAGATTACAACTAAAAAAAATGCAGGACACAATTTTTCATCCTAGCCCCCCCATAAAAATCAAATGGTAGCTCCCTAAACGTCGAGTATACTGTTATCGGTTCATCTGTATAATATAAAGGTCGATTGCATATATATACATGTCTCTGGTAGAAGTTCTTTTATTGCTATCACATTGGTTATTGTTGGTATTTGTTTTTCTATACATCGGTGTAAGTATGTTCTTTATATTGAAGACTTGATCACTGTAACAGTCCACCAGACACCAAATATAGCTTTAATGACTCATATTGATGACTATAACAACAACTGAAAAATATTTATTATTTATTACAACTTCTTCTAAATTCATTTTATTAAGATAGTCGGTAAGATAAATTCGTTACACAATGTGCTAGTGACCTAAAACGATATATAAAGGGTCAGTAAATTCCATATAAGGCTGGAGCTTTGTATTATGTCACGAGCACACTAATAATCTTCTTAAACAGAATTCAGAATTTGAGGCATATAGTTAAACCGTAGATGCGTAAATGACTTGCAGAAAGTATTAAACACCATTTCAGTAATCTACCACCAACTTTTCCTTGTAATTAGAATTTTAATTCATCTAAATGAGATAGAACAACAAGTCTAAGATGGCGATCCGTAGACGCTCAATTGGTTGCTCAGTTTTACTCTGAAAATGTACTCTATATACAGCCACGATTTCGTGATATTTCACGAGTAAAATAAGATTTATATTCCTTCTTATCTGATACAACAACTATTCTATGTAAATATATATATAGGTAAAAATCTGAGAATTTTGCGTTTTACAGAACTGTTGGAACAGCGCCAGGATTTGGCAGTAATTACTACGCACTGATTTGTATATCGATAACTGAGAAATCTACATATAGTTACATGTATTATCGCAAAGGAGGTAAGTGATTTTCTACAAAGGAAACTACCTAAAAAAGATAATAGTTCCATAGTTCTCCATACTATCCGCCGAGTGGTCATAAACGTTCTGCCCAATTTTCGACAACCTAAATTAATCTTTTGTTAAGTCGGGTTCGGTCTCTAGATCTGTAACTTGCGAAGCAGCATATCATAACAATTTCTGAGTATTGATAAAACTCTCGATTGAGCTAAGCTTGAAATGCCTAAAATGAAACTTATGTCTTTCTTTTCTTTTTACATCTGTTTTATTTCTTTCATTGATTGCTTCGTGTGTTGTTCTTATGAATCTGTGTTTAAATGTCCCTGTGAATGCAGTAGTTTCGGTATATTGTGACGGAAAATGGGATATGGCGTATAATTCACGACGCAAAATCCCTGCACACACTTGACAAAACCATTGAAAGGGACAGCGCATCTATTGCTTTTCATCTAAAATTTACAATGAGGCAATCAAAATGGAGCAAATGATAAAAAAAAACACTTTTTACAATGAAGTATCAAATATATAATGTAGATATCTTTGTAAAATGAAAAAAAAAATGATATATACAGATATTTTACTGGCATTCCTTTATAGATATACCTATATAATAAATAAAGCATTTCCGATGACATGAAATAGTGCATCTTGACCGATACTGCATTCGATACTGACTCTTTAAAAGTTGGTATGCATTAGAGAGGAACCATTACTATGTCGTCCTTGAACAGTTTTTTTATCCTATACTATGTCCGTCTACATGTGAATATTTATTTTTTTCGCTGTAAAGTATAGTGTTAATGTTGTCAACATGAACCATAAACGAGCAAAATATATTTACATTAGATATGGTCTACCCACCGATTATGGCAAATTGTGATTTAAGATATTAAAAAAAAATAGAAATGTGGTTGATAAACAAGAGATCAAAATCTTATAAAATACTTTCAAATTACAATAAATCAAGTGAACAACGAAGTGAAATGATTCCTATTTAATGGTTATGGTTTAGGTTGACGCACTAGTTGTTCAAGTGAACTATATGGGTTAATGAATCACATGTCATATGCTCTTTTAAAAACTGGTATCGTAAGTTTATCTTACTACAACGAAGAATCCAAAACTGCTATGAATTGCCGTTTTCAGAAGACATCGTCTGTCCAGTAGCTGTGTAGCTTTGAAAATAAGGGTTACAAATTAATCAGGCAATTGAAAGTTGACCTATAATGTTTTCACAGTTCTGTTTACGTTTTGATGATACAAATACTTCTATTGAAATGGGAATGGTCTTCATCCTCAAGTCAAACGAGCTACCGATCGCAGCAAATGGAGATTTGTTTTTATCGTTCACGTTATTTAAACAAATATTTTATCGTTTGTCATGTGGTGTATCCCATTCCCACCCTTTTTTTATACATTTTGGTCATGAACGTAAAGTTTTCATGCATTGTGATGCATTCGGTATGATTCGTTTATATTCTTTCGCCTTTGCTGTCTATTTACTTTGCTCATTCTCGAAAATAAACTTAGTTTTAATATCATATCATATCCACAGAATTTTTTTGAACAACACAGAACTCGGTTTTAGCGTATGTTTTTCTCCTGCAATTCATTCTATCTAAAAGTACACATATTTTTTGTTAAGCTATAGTACATGGTTCATTTTACGTCTCTTATAATGATTTATTACAGGTACAGCGACATCAGATGGAGGAAGATATACCGTGCTTGGTGAAACAGAAACATTATCGAGTTCAACGTCTACGTATTGTACTGGCACAGCCGATACAGAGGACTTCGGTGTCCTGGTCAAAGATGGTAATAACCTTTTTCCTCATCAAATATTATTTTTATTATGTTACTATGTACATATTTCACAAGCTTCTTCTGAGTAAGTTTATCAATTTTCACATTCAGATTATCTCATCGCGGCATCCCAATCAGTGTTTATAATATAATTCGAAGAGTGACATTTTCAAATGGATGTTTCTTTTAAGGAAGATGTGGTGTATGGGTATCTGCGTTGTGTCCGGTGATGGTTGTTTGTTTAGTCCTACACACGATGAGTGGGTTCTTCCTTTCACCTACACAAGCACATATCAACACGAAGAATAAGTAGTGTGACATATTCAACTTATAAAGCTTAACTGTGAAAACATATTTCTCTTGTATGTACAAAATGTATATGATAACGATAAGTATCTTTTCAAACTTAATGATCGACTAACACCTGTAGTGTTTAGTATTTTTGGTTGTAAAATTCTTTCTTGACTTTTTTGACATATTTCCCATCTTAAATGCATACTGCAATGAGCGTTGAGTAATACGGTAATCAGGATCTTATTACGAAGTATTTTATAGGTAGTTACGGTGACGTGGCTATAACATTACCCAATCCATTTCTCGGCATTTACAACTACACGTTTACCAGCGATGGTTCCACCTACCAATGTAGTGGTACCTCGTCAATGGATGGCTGTACAGATAAAACACTGGTAAAGCTCAATACCAGTTTATGTAACAACGAACTGTTAGATGCAGGTGAGAAAAAAATAATGAACACATAAAGTGCATTTATTACATTGTTTAATGATGTCGAAGCTGAAAATAGAAAATTACCATATATGGTTACGAGCAGTGAAAGTGAAGGACTTATTTGTAAGCGTGTTGTATTGTTTTTGTACAGATCTGTGGTCTTTCATTGTAAAAATAAACCGTATTGACAACCTCAAATGTAGATTAGCCAAGTCAGGAGCCTGTAATTAAGTGATAGTCGTTTGTTGCTGTGTTACATAATTGTTTTTCGTTCATTATTTTGTACATAAATTAGGCCGTAAGTTTTCTCGTTTGAATTGTTGTATAATTGTCATTTCGTGGCCTTTTACAGCTGATTATGCTGTATGGGCTTTGCTCATTGTTGAAGGCCGTACGGTGACCTATAGTTGTTAATTTCAGTGTCGTTTGATCTCCTGTGGGGAGTTGTCTCATTGGCAATCATACCACATCTTCTTTTTTATAGCATTCAATTTGTAGTTTTAACGAAAACCGCTATATTGATTAAGGTATTCAGAACAGATTTTGTACCCCACAAGGACTGCTTGGTACCAAACATCAGGACAACAAAAGATACATAAATTCTTGTAGAACATAACAACAAATAGAAGCCTGAAAAATGATTTCAAAACCATCCAAAGTAGTATATTTTAGTTTGGAATCATCAGTAATGCATGCATTATTGAGCAGAAATCGAAATACTGTTATGCAGCTCCCAATAGACATTTCTGAATTGGCCCTTAATACGAACGCTCAGAATCAAAGTTAAGTATAGTACCATTCAGACAACCTAACAGCGTTTTATAAATAGATTTAATCCGTCTAAGGCCATTTTGTCTTCAGAGAATTGTAACTCCAGTAAATGTAAAATTTACCAATTTATCAGCTTTTAATGAGTTGTTATATTCCTAAAAAACACAAAGTTTCCTTGTTGTTGTCGAATGTCCTCTGTAATCTGTAATCTGCCAAGGCAAATAATGAATATAGTTTTTACATGTATAAATCATATGATTCCTTATCTTTGCAGATAATCGACAATTTCATTGTGTAGCTTATGCTGAATCAGGATCAACATATTACATTGCAATGATGCATTCTGATGCCAGTGCTACTCACCGCTCTACGTGTGTGGTAAGTTAACAGTAATCTGTTCTGACGCTAGCGTACTCACCGTTCTACGTCTTTGATAAGTGTTACCATAACCTATGCTGATGCTAGAACAACTCACTCGTGTGCATCTGTGGTAAATGTAACTATAGTCCCTTATGACGCTAGTTATGTAACAAAAAATTTGTTCCGGCGTGACATTTGTTCCAATATGTTCCACCGGAATTTATATCACAGGAAATATGTTCCATCACTGTAAAATTTGTTCCGGAACTAATTTTTTTTACCAAATGTGAAATAAGTTCCGGAACAAAATTTACAGCTCCATGAGTTTTGTTCCAATGTTAAAAGTTTTAAAAAAGTGAAATAATGGGATACATTTGCAATTGAAGGCATGACTGTAACTATAGGATGGAGAAAAGAAAAAAAGGCATCAAAATGTATCATAATTTGTTTTTATGATTTATGTGGTATTCCTTCTTGCTTCCTGTTAACTGTCATGAGTGTTCTAGTAATTCATGTACTTATGTCATGGCACATGTACAGTTTCAAAAGAGTGTCTGTTGTTTCTTCATGGCTTTTAATATAATTGATCAGTCACTTTGTCCTTTTTAAATTAGTAAAAATGTTCATCTTTAACTATACTTTGTTATGCCCCATTTATGGGCATTATGTTTTCTGGTCTGTGCGTCCGTTCGTTCGTCCGTCCGTCCGTCCGTTCGTTCATTCGTCTGTCCCGCTTCAGGTTAAAGTTTTTGGTCGAAGTAGTTTTTTATGAAGTTGAAGTCCAATCAACTTGAAACTTAGTACACTTGTTCCCTATGATATAACTTTCTAATTTTAATGCCAAATGAGAGTTTTTACCCCATTTCACGGTCCACTGAACATAGAAAATGATAATGCGGATGGGGCATCCGTGTACTATGGACACATTCTTGTTTTCTGAATGATTTTTCTTATTCTACTCTTTTCTGGTTCTTAAGTGTCATTTTGATATTCAATTTTTATTAAACATTTGCTATACTTTACAGGATCCAAATTGGATTGAACACTTTTGATTTATTAGTCATTATCAATATATAATACATGTTTTTATACAGTACTTGAATGATAACTTTAAACTGATTGGTGACAAATGCTCAGTATATAAGATAACATATTTAACCAGTGGAACATATTTCACAGACAAGGAACTTATTTCACCAGGTGAGGAACAAATCTCACAAACCCAGAACTTATTTCACCAGGTAAGGAACAAAACTCACAAACTCGGAAGGAACTTATTTCACTAGGTAAGGAACAAATTTCACCAAATCCAGAACTTATTTCACCAGGTAAAGTGTGGAACTTATTTTGTAGAGATGGAACAAATTATATAGAAACTATCTGTGAAAAAATTTCTCCCAGAACATATTTTCTGTGATATAAGTTCCACTGGAACTTTTTCACAGGAATAAATTTTGGCTCACAGTTACTCTCTCAAATCTTCATGTTTGTTACCAAATTAATCTATTCTGACAAAAGCGTCACAACCGCTCTTCATGTGTGGTAATTGTTAATCGTCCATTTAAAACGATATCACCGATCACTGATCATGATGTGCATGTGTGGCAAGTGTAACAATTGTCTATTTGAATGCTAGCACCACTCACTACTGTAATTTGTGGTTAGTGTTATTATAGTCCATTATGAAGCTAGCACCACTCACTGCTTAATATCTGTTGTAAGTGTACCAATTATTTATTCTGATGCTTGCGCCACTCGCCGCTATACGTGTGTGGTAATTGTAACAATGACATATTTTGACGCTAGCGCCGCTCACCGTTTAACATGTGTGGTAATTGTAACAATGATCCATTCTGATGATAGCACAACTCTCTGCTGTTCATGAGGAGTAAGCGTAACAATGAAAGGTTAAGCTGCTTATATCGCTCTGAAAATTAACGGTATTCCGTTTTATGCTTGCATAACTGACCACACTTGTATTGATCAATTCTGTCGCTAGCACCACTTACTTCTGTACATGTTGCAAGTTTATCATTGATCGGTTCCAATGTATACAGCACGATAAAGGTGTGATCAATTCATATACCACTACAAGCATTGCTATGCGTGCTTAGTAAAGTTAAATATAATGCTGAACATGAGTGGTAGGTATACCCTTGATCCATTCTGATTATAGCATATTTAACCACCGTTCATTAATGATTAGAGCTTATTTTCATACTATCGCCAAATATCATCGTTCCTACAAGGTAAGTGTAGCAACTATACAGTTTGATGCTACCAAGCTGTGTTTCATTTGTTGTAAATACAACAAACTTCCATTCAGATGTTAGCTCAATTTACTAGAGTACATATTGATTTCATAGCTTAAAAGATATTCTGTCTCACAACACTTCAAAACACCGCTGTGCATGTATGATATTAAGTGCAACAATGGTATATTTGAGATTAGCACCACTACAAGCTCTCCTTGTACGTTAAATTCTAATACACACCTACAAATGCTGTATACGGTTGGTATGTATAGTACATATCCATTCTTACATACGCGGTGTCTATCAATCATCAATCAATCACTCGTAGCTTTACAGAAGTGGTAAGAGTGACAATGAGACGTTCACTCACTGCATGATATACGTGTGTTAAAATTGTCCAAATGCTGCTTCCCGATGTTACGTGCTACACGTGTGGTTGCAACTAAGAATGAAAACGATCTTTTTCGGATATCAGTTCGACTTATTTCTCTACATGCAAAGTTTAGCATTGTACATTTGTAACTATCTAAAGATGTTAATGCTGCTACCCTTTCAGTTTGCACTGCTTGCAAGTCTATGTTTATGCATGGTAAGTTTAACCTTGGTATATTGCGATGCTGCTTCATTTCACACATTTCAATATTCATGTGATGTGTTTAATACAAATGATGACTCCCAATGCTTGAATCACTCAAAGCTCTAAATGAGTTGTACGGAATAAAACACTAGTACATACTCATGGCATCAGCATTATCCGTCCTACATGTCCGGTGGGTGACGTAAAACATAGATTTGAGGAAACATGACGCCCTAGTATATGGTATAAATGTATGTCATGTGTAGGAATTTGTCTCTCTCTCTCTCTCTCTCTATATATATATATATATTATAATGGAGTCTTGTCTATAAATTTCAGACTGCAATTATATCTGATAAAATAGTAACAGCCAGTACAGATCCCGGGAGTTGTAAAGTAGGTCAGACATCAAGTTCACGGACAACACACAGTGATAGCGTCCTCATCACTATGGTGCCTTATGGTAATTATGTTATAGTTTACTTGTTAGGCAATTTTAAACAATGTGAGAATGTAAATCCATTTGCTAGAATATTCTACGATTCGTAGAGGTTTAATATACTGAGTATGATAATCTGTGACTCATATCATAATGCCTCATGCCACAACGATCAATGCACTACTTTTCAACTATAAAACCTTTGCAAAAACTCATAATAAATGCCAGTCTTGTAAATTTGTACGAAAGACGCGCATTTCATTACACATGACTCTTCAGTGGCGCGCGTATAAAAACGATTCAAAATCAAATACGAAGTGTATCATTGTGTACCAACAATTTTGAAATGTTTGCTTAATTCAAAATATAAATTTCGTCATTGAAAAAAAGTAGTCGCTAAAAGAAACCTATTTATAAAGATATTTTCTTTTCTTTTTTCCAGAAATATGCTGTGAGTATGTAAATACAGAAGTAGGACAAGGAAAAGTCTTTCGGGTTTAAATGTCAGCAAAGATGGAGTACTTATCTCAAAAATAATTAAACAGTTTTAACTATCCATGACAATCCTTTCTACAAACAGATAATTCGTTTTGGTCCTGCGGTACTTTCAATGCAAAATTTACTAACACTTACAGTAATCTATTAAGGCAAAAAAAAGGAGATGTGGTATGATTACAAATGATAAGACAAACCATAACCAAAGCTTGAAGGACAAGGGTGCTAACACCTTACTACAGGTATTCGTGCATCCTACAACAATATGCAAAACCAATATACCGTATAGTAAGCTAGGTACACTTTTAATAAACATAAAAAACAAATGGAAAATTCTTCAATGGCACATACTTGTCTAACATTTCAAGAAAGCTCAGTGTGTAGAAATAATCCAATTACAATTAACGTATCGAAATGTCGAATTGACTTTCAGAATAATTGTTGAATTGGTACAAACAAAAACTTCTTCAAACATTATAAATATGAATATGAATGAATCACCTATAATGGAAAAACAACACTACGTATCACCATTCAAAATTTCACATTTATTTTCACGTTAGTTTTATGGTAAGATCATTTACAATCTGATTAAGATATAGATCTTTGCTTATATGCAAGGATCCGACAACATGCGTTATACTTTCTGATCTGGTAGTTATTACATTAGCCAATTAGATTTAAGTCTTCAAATTTTGAAGGTGTGTATCAGTGCGACAAAATCAGAGGATCCCTGAATGATCTTTAAAACAGAAAGTAGAACGGAGCGTTTTCAAATTCTCGTAAGTGTAGCGTGGACACAAGATATGTATTTCAATCGGTTTGGATAATTTTTATATACAAATGGTTCATCATTATCATCGTTTCATGACAAACGATTATTATGAAAAAAATACCAAAATACCAAAAAATCCCTTTACTTTTGTTGCATTTATAACATAAATAACAGTCAGTTTGTGACGTACGAAAACTAACACAAATTACAATGCAGCATATTTCTTGAAGCGAGTGTAACTATGAAATATATAATAAAAAAAAAGTTGCACTATGTATGTTTTGCCTTTTTAGATTCAACGGCTTCAAGAATCTTCTATTTATCAAAATCTATAAATTTGATCTCTCTGTTAGTATTGCTGATTCATTTGTTTTCATAAGGTAAGAAACTTTTGAGTTTGTCAAATTATTAATCAGTCCTAGAAAACAAATAAAAAGAAAATAAGAAAATAAGTGAACGAACTGAGAAAAGTGATAAAAAGTACATTTATAGATAGTGTAGAATTCTGCTGTGATGTATCTACTATACTGAGATATCATACAAAGTTCAGTGAATTACAAATGAATTCGTTCAATACTTATCAGACTAACGGTTCGTGGTGTCGCGCATAAGACTATTTGTCAACTAGAACATATCCATCATATTAAGGAATCGGAGTTGAAATGAAGAGGAAAAAACGCGAACCAGTCTAATTCAAATCAAGAATGCACGCTTACACTCAGTCACAATAATATGTATAAGAACAGCTTACCATTAAGTTTATAAGCAGTATGCACAAAATTTTACGTGATATCAGATTGTAAAAGACGATATGCATGCCCTTCTTCTAATGAAACACCGTCTCATTGCCCACTGTTTTAACCGGAGATAATTCAATCATATAAGTCTCAAAATTGAGGAAAGGATATGAAGCGCTTAAGAATATTATTAGTAATTCACAATCATAATCATTGAGACATGCCGACTCAAAATAGAACTGTCACATCGTTTTTGTCGATGTATAATTGTGTAGTTATAATGTGAGCATATTAGGATAAATTTATCTCAGAGCAGATTATGTGACAATACCTATGAATACTCAATGAGGGTATTGTACCTGAAATATCATTATGAAGTATATGTAACAAAACAATCTCTACTGTTCCAATAAGAATACATTGTGAGCATAGGCTTCTGGAGTTTTACTTGTAACGACAAATGATTCATGATATGAGAGATAAATCTTTTTACTTCGACATATTGTACGATAAAAAAAGGAGTAGAGACGGTAAAATCCTAAATTTAAAAATTTTGATTATAAAAGAATAAATTTCAACATTGATGGTTATTCTCTAAATGAACATTAATAACGTATGTATTTGAATGGACATTAACGATGATGTTATGATTTTATTTTCAGAAGTTTATACCAAATTAATCATTACAGGAATAAAACACAAGATATAAAGATGTGATGGAGGGGTTCGGAGGACTTCTTATACCACCTGGAACATTACATATTTATGCAAATCTCATCCATTAAACTAAACAATTATCATTGATTAAACAATTGTTTTTAATTCATTAAATTCTTTGATCTGAATACACTCAGCTGTCTTATGAAATGAGCATTGATGTATATCAATATCTATTTACATCATATAATCACTTTGTTTAAGTGTAATCAAATTTACAACTGTGTAGTTGATATATAAAGCAAGAAATAGTCATGTAAGTGTTTAAAATGTACATCTGATTTCGTTTCATCAGGATGCTTGGTTGCAGTATATATCAGACCTAATTGATATTCAATAGTATAAGATGTTTAAACATGTAGATTTAAAAACATGAAATGTATTTTTTACCATTGCAAAATTAACACAAATATAAATAAAAATGAGTTACTTAATATTTTGCTGATGTTGAAAAATGCATTTTCAATGTACCTGTCTCTGGAAATCACGAAGTCAAAAAATATTACTCATTTCTTTGAATATTTCACTTTCAATAACAATAATTTGACAATTTTTTTATGTAAACAAAAGAACATGTTAATAAAATCCGTACACCTTCTAGAATTGAATAATCAAAGAATGTCACAAAAACTGGCAATAGAATAAATACTAGATAGTAAAATCATTGAAGTGAAAATAACCTGTATCACTCTACAACCATTCATCTTCAGAGTCATATAATTTGTATGATAAATTAATTAACAATTCTATGAGATATTAAAAAAAATGTATGTCTATCTGAACATAGAAATGCCGATAAAATCAAGTTTACAAGTAAATCAAGGGAGACACTATTTCCAATTCATGTCTCTTTATTTACGTTTCGCGTGTCTGACATACAAACTATGATATCTTTGAAGAGTTTTTTCAACGTGTATACTGGGGAACTACGAGGATTAACTTTTTTAAAATGAATCCTGATTTGCAACTACAATGAACTTTTTTTCATATGAATATCGTTAGATAATTTCTCCTGTTTCAAAAACTGAAAACTTAAAAACTTGAAACTGTGAACATGATTTTATAAAACAATATTAAATTGCAATTAAGTAGAAATAGTAATACAAATTAAGTACCCCATATTGACGAACATTTAGCTCATCAAATGAGAAAATCGATCTTACTTTACTTAATGCAAAAGAGAGGCGAACAATACCAAAAGCGACATGAACATTCATAAGTCGAAAACAAACTGACAATGCCATGGCAAAAAAGAATGAAGACCATAGAGGCAAACAACAGCACACAAAACTCAAGATAGAAAACTACAGACAGAGCAACACGAACCCACACAAAACCAGGTCGCTCCGAAAGGTAAGCAGATCCTTCTCCACTTGTGGCACCCTTCGTGTTGCTCATATAAGTAGAAACCCGATGATAAGTTACATTTAGGGAAAAGGAGGACGGCATTGTGTTTACGAAGATAGTGTTAAATCAAGGGTTTTTTTTCAACTCCAAACTTGAAAAAAAATATTTGAAATTATGCAAACAACTTTTCCAATCTATTTATCAGTGATCTCGGTAACTTTGGTTCTCAAAAGTACTCCAGAAGACTTACAATTTTATCTCAGAAATTTGAGAGCAGAAAGGAGGGATCTAAAATGTCATAATTACTCTGGCATTTTTTGACGATTTTTTTACTGTTCCTTTCTATCTTCTTTGTCATTTTGTAATAGAAAATATGTCAAATCACAAATTTACATCTGGGAGCACAATATCTATTCAAAGTGTTGGTGGCTGTCTTGAAATCTTTTACAGGAGTTGGTAAAATGATTTTCCTTTGATAAAACAGATCAGTAATGTCCCGCTAGCTCTACAATTGGCCTGATCACAGCACACACAACGCTATGATCTCTTTTGTGACGCAACCAGCAATCTCCAAAGGAAAACTGTTCCATCTTTGATTTTTGTAGTTTAACTTTTGTCAGTAAATAGAGCTTGCACTAATAATGATTGTGTTATTTTCTACATATGAAGCCCCCTGACATTCCTTCTTCTTTACAAGGCTTTTGTATATACATAACTGTAATAGCTTCTACACCGTGATCTTTTTTTTTTACTGAACACTCATTAAATAGTTTAGGAGTAAAAAAGAGGCGAAAGATACTAAAGGGATATTCAAACTTATAAGTAGAAAAAACAACTGCAAATGCCATGGTAAAAAACGAAAACGATCACAAGACAAACAACATTATGAACAACGCAACTTAGAATAAATAAAGACTTAGCAACACGAACCCCAACATAAACCAGGGGATCTCAGGTGCTCTGGAAGGGTAAGCAGATCCTGCTACACATGTGTCATCCGTCGTGTTGCTCATGTAAGTACAAACCCGGTGATTAGTCCTATTCGGTAGGTCACATTCGTGGAAAAGAGGGCAGGATTGTGGTTATAGTTATCAAAGGTACCAGGATTATAAGTTAATACGCCAGACGCGCGTTTCGTCTACATAAGACTCATCAGTGACGCTCAGATCGAAATAGTTATAAAGCCAAACAAATATTCATCGTTACCTGTTAAACAGATATTCGACATCCAGCTCATGATTGCGTCCGTAAATAAAGGCAACAGTAGTATACCGCTGTTCAAAAGTCATAAACACATTGAGAGAAAACAAATCCGGGTTACAAACTAAAACCGAGGGAAACACATCAACTATAAGAGGAAAACAACGAAACAACAGAAACATTGAAGTGCAAAAAAACAAAACAAACGACAATGCAATATACATAGAAACGAACTATTAGATAACAACTGCCATATTCCTGACTTGGTACAGGACATTTTAAGAAAAAAGGGTGGGTTGGACCTGGTTTTGTGGCTAGCCAAATCTCGCGCTTTATGACAATGTTAAATATACCGCTAAAATGACAACATTACATGACAGGAATAAAGTACAAATAAATGCAAGAACACTCAGGACAGAGAAATATATAAATAAATAATATAATAGTACATTTCGACATGTTAACCACAGAATAACAACGAATACCTAAAATAATTTAGGACAGTACACAATAAAATGCTTCGCTGAGCGCAGCCTGATACGACCGCTGAGGTCGAACCCTGAACAGTTGGTGCAAGTTTGGACACAATATTCAAGCTTGATACTGTCTGACTTTGGATTGTGATCAAATTTTTGACATAATATAGGTTTCTGACACAAAATAAGTGTGGTGAAAAATCTTAAAAATTTGAAATGGGTTGAAATATTTGTATTAATTTTCAATTAAAGATTTCTTGCAATTGCACAATACTGTGCAAATGGATATTTCTTGCTATTGCGCAATACTATGCAATTGAAGATTTCTGGCTATTGGGCACTATTGTGCTATTGCGCAAGGCTGTGCAATTGGATATTTCTTGCTTATCTGCAATATTGTGCAATTGAAGATTTCTTGCTATTGCGCAATACTGTGCAATTGAAGATTTCTTGCTATTGCGCAATACTGTGCAATTGAAGAATTCTTGCTATTGTGCAATATTATGCTATTGCGCAATACTATGCAATTGAAGATTTCTTGTTATTGCACAATACTATGCAATTGAAGATTTCCTGCTATCGCGCAATAGTGTGCTGTTGCACAATACTTCATATAATAATTTACACGTCATGTTTGGTGTGTATCTCCTGCCATATCAGTATTTTCCTTTTGTGATATGGAACCTTGTGGTACAATTTCAGAAAGATCCATACACTTACACACAAGTTATTGTCCGGAAACAACAAACATGCTTGTTTTTGGCCCCTTTTTGGCCTTTAATTCCTAAACTGTTGGTACCATAACCCCCAAAATCAATCCCAACCTTCCTTTTGTGGTATTGAACTTTCTGGTAAAATTTCATAGAGATCCATTAACTTCAACTAAATTATTGTCCGGAAACCAAATTTGTCTTCGGACGACGACGCAGACGCAGACAACGACGCAGACGACGACGACATCATACCAATATACGACGCAAAAAAATTTTTTTGCGGTCGTATAAAAACGGCATAATAGAATTACGAACTGTGCGTCACACGAATGTATCAACGCGTAAAAAAGTGACGTCACATATAAATTTTTTAAAATTGGATATAAATCGAGATTAGGTTTGTAATTTGTTATTTGATGTATTTTATAACAATAACAAGCATATTAACATAGAATTGTGTTAGTAAATGTGTAATTAATTGTATTATCTAACTATGTCGGTATTTCTTCTTAATCAAACTGTAAAACAAATAAATCCTGTACATATAGTTGCTTTAAACTAAAATCATATAAATGAACTGCACGGGTAGTAACCTCGTCATATCGAGAATCGTTTAGTACAGTGATTTTGTCATAGTTTGGTTAAGATTAACATGGTTGTGTTAAGTGTTTTTGATGACAAACAGTGCCAAAATATAAATATTAAAATATTTTGTTAAATGAACTAATGACAACAAATTCAAGCTGGTAAGTGTCTTTGTTTATAGCTAATGTGTTAGTACATCAAAATTTGTTTCATATAGTTATCAACTTGACACAGAATAATGCTTGCATATGTCCAAATTTAAAAGTCGTGATTCGTTTCTAATGCATATAGAAAAGTGGTTTTCTTACTGTCTTCTAAATCACATATTTTGTTATCATATAAAACTGCCGTCAATTTTCCCGAAAAACAGCCTCTACTGCACACAATTTGAGATTACAGAAAATTAGGTGTCATGGTTTGGTTCATTCATGTCATGGTTTATTTCATGTTGAACATGGTTCAGTTAAGTGATTCTAATCGTGAATGAAGGAAAAGTAACGATCAAAATAAACAGAAATTATACAACTATTGAAATACTCTTTTTTTAAACCGTTTTATTTGGAATACAAAAGGACATATTATACCCACAAAAGTATTATATATATTAAGTACATGCGGTCTGATTGCCAATGAGTAAACCTATCCACCTGAGACCAAAATGACGTAGATGTTAGCAACTATATGTCGCCGTACGGCCTTCAATAATGAACAAATTCATACCTCTTAGCAAGCTATAAAAGGCTCCGACAAAATTATATGTAAAAAAAAATTAAATGAGAAAACCCACGTACAATATGACAAAAACATTATCAATTTTTTTCGTTCGTAATAATAATTGATAAAAGTAGACATTAAATCGGCTTCATTCTAGTTCGAAATTGTGATTTTTCATATATTTAAATTCGAAACTTGTGTGTATTTTTTTATTTTTATTGTAATTTTACTAATAGTTTGTTAAACAAATAAGTTTTAACTGTTGTCCATGTCTCGCGTTAACATTTTGTTTCGTGGATTGTTGAAGACTTATTGTGTCCCCTTGATATCGTTTTGTTAGTTTTGTTGTTGGGATACTATATCATGGGCGTATTACACCACATCTCCTTTTATTCATCATAGACTGGTTTAAAATAAAACAACAGATGTATAGCTTACTAGAATAAATGTAAAACAAAAATTACGTTTTGACTAGCTGATACGTTTTGCAACTTAATATAGCCGTCTTTACCTATTTTACAAGTGATGCCGCTCACGATATCCCCGACAGAGTCCATCATAAACATACGGGAAATAATCTATGTGAAACAGAAGCAGCGCTTTCTGTTTTTGTAATTATTATCTCAAAAGATAGTTTAAAAGAGCAGTGACTATTGCAATTATAAAAGCAAAATAACAAAAATACGGGACTTCGAGGACAATTCTATACGGAAAGTCCCTAATCAAATGGCAAAATTAAAAAACTAAAACACATCAAACGAATGGATAACGACTGTCATATTCCTGGCTTGGTACAGACATTTTTTTCTGTAGAAAATGGTGGATTAAACCTGGTTTTATAGCCAGCTTAACCTCTCACATGTATGACAGTCGCATAAAAATCAATTATATTGACGACGATGTGTGAACAAAACAAACATGGTGTTATAATCTTAATCACTATAAAAATAAAACAAATATGTCAACAAACGAAAACAAAAAAGCATATAGACAAAGCACGAAAAAACGAAAGACAAGAATACAAAAAAATACCATAGCACAATAACACAATGACTGGATGTATAAGTACTGAGCCACGTCAAATGGATTGGGCCAAAAATAGACTAAATAGTTCAAATTCATAATTTCCAAAGACAAATAAAAGAATACCATAACACGTCATTAAGATGACAAATAACGTCAGTACGTAGAAGATATATTTAAAGACCATCGTTTATTACTTGTGAAGTTGATAAGGAACATTCATCCACAAGGTCTTGGTATCGTCCGATGAACTTTTTTGGAAAAAGGACGAGAAGTTCTTTGACATATCACTGGTTCATCAACTTTCTGCTCAGACACTGGTGACGGTTTAGAAAGTCAGAGTAGCATCTTGAATATGAGTTGGGAAATGTATATCCCATATGCAGGATAAGTTGGTATATTGCTACTGAGGTTGGGGAAACTGATAATTTCAAACTAAAATCGTCTCGTTTGTCATAGATTCTTGTACGGAGATGACCGCTCATGTCAAATTTGAAGTATAAGTCTAAAAATGAGACAGAGGAAGCCTTGTCTGTTGTTCCTTTAATTTCTAGTTCTCGGGGATATATTAATGGAATCCAATCAGAAAAGTTTTGATTGTTAATGGAAAGAACAATATATCTGAATGTGAAATTAAATGATCTGGCTTCTTTTATCTTCTTGTTTTTTTACAAATATCTGAAGGAACTCCGACTCATATGAAGATAAGAAGAGGTCGCTGCCGCACAGTTCGCTCCCATAGAAATACCGACAATTTGGTGACAACGTCTACCTCCAAATTCAACAAATATGTTGTCAATAAGAAACTCCAGCATATTGGTCACTTGCTCCTCTGTGTAGCATGTTTTATTTTTTTGTTCACTATAAACAAAATATGCCATATGGTATCCCAAAGTAAAACATGTATAGCGTGCGCTACCATTTTTATGTCGAAAAGCATTGTGGATTATTTCTTTAAGACGATTTTTCAATTACACATAGGGAATGGTGGTATACAGGGTTGAAAATTTAAAAGTTTGATAGAACTTATTTCAGAGAAGGATCGAGATTTACATTTATCCAGAAGTTCTTTAAGAGTTTTTTAACTATATGGTTAATACCACTACGCGAGTAATCAGTTTCACAGTATTTCTGAAAACCCTCTTTCACTGCGGAAAGAATCTTCGTCAGTCTAATGGACAATTCTTTCGTCGAACATGCAGATACGCTGGCAATGTACGGCTGTTTAAATGGAATTTTGTGAAGTTAATGTATCCAATACAAACAAGGTAAGTCCTCCAATTTGCTGCTCAAAGTAATGTTCATTGAAGCTATGAAGGACTTATGAATCCCCAAAATCTCATCCTTGTCAAGTAATGTTTTTGTATGTGGGATTACATGAGTGCTTATTTATTCCTAATTCTTTTACAAGACACTCGTAGTAGTACGATTTGCATACAAAGACAAGTCACGAATAGTTAAATTGTTTAATGTACGCTTTGTCAATTACACCATATCATTTTTTCTTCTTAGTCAGTTGGTAAATTGTGTAACTTCGTTTAATTACAAGCGTTTTTAAACAAACTGTCAATATTCAGCTAAAACACATATATATTAATTTGGATCTAAACCATAACAAACTTGATCAAAACCAGGACAAATTTCTAGACACTTAACCAAACCATGTCATAGCTTAACCAAACCATAGCAATTTCGATAGTTTGCTACTTCTGCGTTAGTTTCTTGAAAACAACAATTCTAATGTAGATCGTTTAACTAACAAAGCAGATTAAAACATATTATTTGCTTTTGATTTGCTCGTTTGAATAGAACTGAGGCAATCGTTCGGGGAAGTAACTTAACACAACCATGTTCATCTTAACCAAACTATGACAAAATCACTGTACTAAACGCTTATCGATATGACGAGGTTACTACCCGTGAACTGGGTGATTAATTATATTTACTTTTACATACGAATAGAACATAAAAAAATAAAAAATAGAATTAAAACTACAAACAATAAGACATAAAACAATATCCGATCAGAATTACAAATAAAACATCATAACTAAATACATGAATGTTGGATGAACAAATACCGAGACACGTCTTATAGCAATGCAAATTCACACTTAGCAAAACAGTCATATTCGGGAATAGGTCACGTTCGGTACTTAAAAGACTAGACGACGTAAATGGTAAACCACAATGTAAGACGTGGTAAAAATGTCCTTAGTTAGTTTAGACTAAAAATGTCCTTAGTTAGTTTAGACTAAAATTGTCGAAGGAATGATTTCAACTTCTTTACTTGGAACTCTTTGTTTAATAGCTTCTTTATGAGGAAATGATAATAGGAAATGGAAGCTCTGGAATATCGTTAATGTGTGATTTTGTTTCATTCGTTTTCGGTTTTAATGAGGTATCTCCTTTAATCATAATACAAATAGAGGTATGTCATATATAACTCATCTTTATGATTCAATGCTTTTGGTAAACATTTCATGTCTGAGTTGTATTTTGTGCTAAATATGAATTATTGTCTATTATTATATACCATGGTTGGGACTGCTATCCGCAACCTTCTTATGAAAATTTCTCTCTGATTTTGTCCATTATGAGGAGTACTTGCGTGAAATGTCAGATTCCAGATACCTCGGTTCAAACAGTAACATGATGGAGATTTTCAGTTTCTTATACAATCATTAAAATGATTCAATGAATAAAGGCAACAGTAGTATACCGCTGTTCAAAAGTCATAAATCGATTAAGAGAAAACAAATCCGGGTTTCAAACTTTAACCGAGGGAAATACATCAACTTTCAGAGGAAAACAACGGAACAGCAGAAACACTGAACTGCAACAAAAATAAACGCCAACATACATAGAAACGGACTATTTGATAACAACAATAATAACACATTTAAATTGACTGTCATCCTCATATGTGTGTGTTTACACTAAGGCTACAGTAACCTTCGATGACAGACATATATACCAAAATAATCTACTAATTCTATCAAACAAAATAACAAAATAGAACTTAAACGTTTATTAAAACTACACTTAGTATTAATACATAATTAAAACATTCTGCTTATAAAATACCATACATGAAATTTAATAAATACATACCTTCATATAATTATTTAGCTGTATGCAGGGCTACTAAGTGTCATAAAAATTTCACATAGAAAATATACAAAGATATAAGATACATGTCCCAGCAGATAAAACAGAGCTTAGGGACCTGTAGTAGATGACAACAGTTCTTAAGAAAAAATATGTATGAAAACTGATTTAGCAGTCAAAGATGAACTTATATTAAAAATTAGCTTTGTATTATTTGGAGGAAGACTACAGGCTACACACATGCAGCAGCACCCTGGAAAGACTAAACACATTTGGTTAATAAAAGTAATATACAAACAACAAACCAATATGTAAATTATAATGAAAAAGATATAATTCGTCCCGATTGTCCAAAGTTCATCAGGTCTAAGTGGGAAACGATCTAATTTTAAGAGAGTATATGGAAGCAAAACTATAGTCATTAGGTTATCATGTTATCGTGTATGATACAGTATTCCAAAAAAATCATCAAACTTGCAATATTTTTCCTGTTGGTTTATTATTGTAATTTACAGGCATTCCAATGATATATGCACTGAGCTATAAATTCTATGTTTGGAATACTATGTCCCTATCATTTTTTTCTATGTGATGAATTGACACAAACGAAAACCACATTGCATTCCCTTGTAGAATGCTATAAACTGTAGCTGCTTGTAGTAGATTTAGGTTACGATTGGCAAACTAATAAAATTATGTCAAAGCTATATCACTGCTATATCATATTGTGTCAAATGAGTTCATTAAGGATGTAGTTAGGTCAAATTAAAAAAATCTGGAATTCAAAATTGATCCTATTAACCAGAAAAACAAAATAAGCTACATCTTGATAAATTATTGAACTCCATTTTACTGATATCTGAATTAGAAAAAAATGGCGGGAAAAGGCTGACTCGGACTTTTACCATATTTTTAGCATATGCATTTTTTTGTTTTAAAATCTTATGAAATAAAACCTAGAATCTGCTTAAATTTTGGTAATGAACTTTTAAGCGCTATGTTAGTCTACTATGAAAAGAAAAGTGGGTAATATGAGGCAAAATAGTTTACCTTATATCATGAGGAAAAAAATACAGAAGGAGTCTTAACATTAATTTTATGAAACATAGGTCTCCGCACTTAATCCTCATTTTTGTTCGGTTGTTTATATGTCGCGTGTGGGAGATCTGACTACAGCCGCTTAAGGGTCATGTCTAGGGTCAAATTTTCTGTAGCAAATCAACGAAACTGCTTCAAAATGTTAGGGTATTGGACTTGCATAGGGGTCGTACTAGCGTCTAGAGTAATTCCGAATGTAGAATAACAAAAATGGCAGTCCCCATGCGAAAGACATTTTATAAACTGAAACTGTAAAAGCAGTTTCTTTTATAGCCTTCCGAGATTAAATGGCATCAAGTGAAGTGTGTACGCCAAGGAAAATATCCGTAAGAACGAAGAGTTGTGTTTTTTGCGGTTTTTCCTTCATTCAGATAGAAATCTCCTCATCGTGAGAACATGTTGAAAAAACTGTTCAAACTCAAACTTCAGCTAAACTCGGAGAGAATCTCAATAATTTCTAGAGTCGTAACTGGTTTTTAAGTAAACGCCGATGTAGACAAGGTAATGGCGTCTACATTAAATATTTCAGAAAAGTTCAACAGTCAATGAAATTAAAGAAAATGCAAGAAGAACTAGTTGCATCTTGGTTAAAAATACAACAAACTATCCTTAATTTACCGTCGCCTAGAAAATTTCAAACTGAGAAAAGGATGTTAAGATCTCCAGCAAGTACACAATCTTCAAAACAAATGAAAATATTCCCGGTACAATCGTTACGCCCCTATGCAGTATACCAAGTTTTGAATCCAGTCTGACAAAAGCAACTTATGTAACAAGTGGTAAACTACATCTAGTGACAGTTCCTTTTCAAATATCATTGACCCAAGGCCAGAAATAACAATCAGTAACGCGCGACATATAAACAACCAAACGAAAATGAGGAGCAAGTGCGTTGAACTAATTTTGATTAATTGAAATATCTGACAAAAATTCATAAACCCAAAATGATGACATTCTTAAAGCCGTAGACTTGTTAAATTAGTTGCATACTGTGAAAGGCAGTTATATATTAATGCTAAATAAAAATATCTCTTTCTGTGCTTTGCTTCTCAAACTAACAGATTGAATTAATCAGTGTGGCTATGAACTGAAGCTGGTATGCATATTTTAGTTTGTTATTTAGCTGGGATGATTTGGGGAATGTTTTTGAAAAGTGAATGATTTCAGGATGTCGTTTCATCCCTAGTTTGGACTTGTAGCAATATTTTTCTAATGTAAGCTCATGGTCAAGGGACACAAAATATATGATTAAATTTCAAATTTCAAAAAATTACCAAACATTAAAGCAATACAACATTCTTAAACGAAGAGATTGGACAAAATAATTCAAAACGAATTTTAATTATTACACAACACAATGTTTATATATGAAAATAGAATTATGTCAAATATTTGTTTTTCGATATAAGCACAAGAATGATGCATCAAAATGACTAAAAGGAAGCAGATATCCAAACATAAATGCTTCACAATGTCCCTAAGGCCAATAGACTAATAGATTATTTTTAAGAATTTTCCTATGAAAATTTAGGTTTTTTTTTCAATTTTTTCTCGGAAATTATTTTTCCTTGTATATTTCATGATGTAAATGGTACAAGAATATATTTCTGGTGCGTTACAATTTGAGATGAACTTGAGTTGTACAGCGTACAAATTGGACTCAAAATGATAATTTCATCGACAATGATGCGTTTATTTGAAAAATTCATAAATGCTGAGAACAAAACCCATACTTGAGATAAAAAGATACAGATAGATTTTGAATACCACTTGAAAAACGTCATCGGAAATGTCATGACATTGTTGAATTGTGATGTTGAGGTTTAATGTTCTTGGTCAGATTGGAAGTGAGGAAATGGAATAATAGGTTGAGGTTCAATATTCGTTGTCAGATTAAAAGTGAGGAATTGGAGTAATAGGTTGAGGTTCAATGTTCATTGTTAGATTGTGAGATTCAATGTTCATTGTCAGATTGGAAGTAAGGAAATGGAGTAATAGGTTGAGGTTTAATAATCATCGTCAGATTGGAAGTAAGGAAATGGCGTAATAAGTTGAGGTTCAATATTCCTTGTCAGATTGGAAGTGAGGGAATGGAGTAATATGATGAGTTTCAATGTTAATTGTCAGATTGGAGGTCAGGAAATGGAGTAGTAGGTTGAGATTCAATGTTCATTGTCAGATTGGAAGTGAGGAAATGGAGTTATATGTTGAGGTTTAAAGTTCATTGTCAGATTGGAGGTCAGGGAACTGAGTAATAGGTTGAGGTTCAACGTTCATTGTCAGATTATAAGTGAGGAAATGGAGTAATAGGATGAGTTTCAATGTTAATTGTCATATTGGAGATCAGGAAACGGAGTAAAAGGTTGAGGTTCAATGTTCATTGTCAGATTGGAAGTGAGGAAATAGAGTAATATGTTGAGTTTCAATGTTCATTGTCAGATAAGAGGTAAGCAAACGGAGTAATAGGTTGAGGTTTAATGTTCATTGTCATATTATTAGTCAGGAAACGGAGTAAATGGCATATCGATTAAATTGTCTGTTTCATCAACAAAATAATGCTGTTTTCTGAAGTTTTTAAGTTAAAGGATTTTTTAACAAAATAAATATCATCCATCTTAAATCATAAACACAAAAGAATGTCAGACACCAAAAATGATGTTTTTACCCACACATTTCATTAAAAGAATAAAACATTTAACTCGCCGATCCTCTATTTTCATCTTGAAAATCCTTGAAACAAAATGTGACCTAAAACTAGATAAAACAAAAGACACATCAATACTATCAAAAGAAAAAAATGTTCAACGACAAATACATTAGAGCAATTAAACATGAAGAAAATAGTACACTCACGTCTTCTAACATTTGTATAACAACATTTACTTATCTGTAAAAAATGAAAAATTGTGTAATGGAACATGATAGTTCAATTCTTATAAACCCATTATTTCACAGGTGTCTTCTTCTTGTTATGTCACTATAAAAAATCTTTTATTATGAGTAAATACTTTTACAATTGTAAATATGTTAACAAGTGGTAAACAAATAATTACACTACTAGCAATAATAACTATTTGATTTCATGATATAAACAGAACTTTATCTCTAAGAGATTGTTCTTTTTCTCTCTGAAGTTTGGAAAAAGATAATATGATACCTATATGCAATAAAGAACACGCACATACAATGCTATGAATACAAACTCTATAGCTCAACATAGTGAAAGCACAAACAACAGTCTTCACAACACTAACAAGTAAACTAAAGATTGCAGTTTAAGTTTATTTCCCTAACATATTGTCATTTTACCCGATGAGTTTATCAATTTTGATTTTTTCATCCTATCTGTTGTTTTAAATTTTCATTAAATGGAGAATTGTTTGATGGAGAGTTAAACAAAAAATGAATATAATCTTTTTCGAAGACTTAGTGACCAACATGAGTATAGAAATAATCACCAGTGTAAACTTGACAGATAGTATAAAGTATCTCAAATGAAGTAATCAGCATATTAATTAAATTTCTCGTTGAAAACTTTAACAAGTCCAGCAGTTTGTCTGATCACTAGTTTTCTTTGTATAAGATTATAATGTATATTAACATCTGATGGGGAGATTGCTATTGTATTTACTTGTTTATACTGTTCACTATCAGACGACAAATGTTGTATTGATCCATCCCTACACAATAAATATAGACTGCCATCTTGTAGTGTAGTCATCCTCCTGGGTGTTGATGGTAATGATATGATGTGATGTGCATCATCAGTATAACTGTACCAGTACAGCTTGTTGTTGTTGTAGAAGTCGATATCACAGTAGAATATTCTGTCACAAGAACCATGTAACCTGTTAGGACTAAAGTTAGTCTGTATCATCTGTACCACCTCTCCTGTCTGATGATCTATGATCAATATTCTGCACTCACCCCCAACAACTAACTTGTTGTTTATAGATGTAATTCCAAAACACCTCATTCCAGGTACTGATATTGAATTAACTTTGAGTTTATTATTTATGTCAAACATCTCTATACAGTCCCTTTTCCACAATGTAACAGCTACTGTAGAGTTGCTGACTGCTGTAACACACCATGGGCTACCCCGTACATATATAATATCTACCTGTGATTCATCTGTTTTACAGATGAGTAGTCTGTCCTGGTAAGGTAAACCCATTACCAGTCTACCATCATCCATCATCACTATTCCTGACACACCTCCTCTCCAGTCTCCACCAACTACTACTGATTTCAGGTCGGTCTGGTGGTGTAGTGTGAAGATAGACTGTCCTAGTATGTATGGTTTTAATGGATGTTCATTATTTCCTGTAAAAGTAATGTTGAAAGAATTTATTTGAAAGAGTAGGAGGTCAAAAGGTTTTGTAAATACGCGTTCAACATATCAAGATTACATATTGCAGTGTATGGTTTTCTTTTTTTGGTATTTTAAAGAAATCAATGATATTTTCTAATATATTGGTGTTTACATACTGGTATGAATACTGACGGAACATGCAAGACAGACTTTGGTGATTGTTTTTTTTTTCAAAATTAGGATTATTAGGATTAATCTTCGTATAAGTACTTTTCGTGATTACCATACTTCTTTCAATTTCAAAAATATTTATGCCTGTCTTACCTCGAGTAATTGAACATTCCGGATTATTGACGTCTCACAAATGTCTTAAAGCTATATTTGAAACCCATGTATGATTTTTTTGTGAATCTATAGATATCGGAAGGTGTGGTATGAGTGCCAATGAGACAACTCTCCATCCAATTCATAATTTATTAAAGTAAACCATTATAGGTCAAGGTACGGTCTTCAACACGGAGCCTAGCTCACACCGAACAGCAAGCTATAAAGGGCCCCAAAAATTACAAGTGTAAAACCATTCAAACGGGAAATCCAACGGTCTAATCTATATAAAAAACGAGAAACGAGAAACACACTTGCGTTAGTGAAAACATGTAGTCCGACTCAGAGATCACTCGGCCACCGAGGAACCTGACATTTATGATTAAGGTATGCCATGTTTCTGGCACCTTACAAAGAAGAAATGTAGTTTTTGACATTTGATATTTGGAGTGATGTCAATAAGACATATACAATATGTATATATAGTCGAGTGTTATGTTTCCCTCGTCGATTTCCTATTTTATTTTTTATACATTCAACTCCCTGGAGTTTGGAGCACATATGAATAGAGAACGTAGCAGTTTAACCAAAAATAATTATTGTAATATGTTGCTGAATTGATTACGACAACTAAAGTTATTTTGAAATACAACGATAAATTTAATTTTGGTTTTTATTTACTTCTTTATGAATGTATGATTGATAGCTTGATTGTTGTTTAACACGACGTTCACCACTTCTTAGATATAGGAAGATGTGGTATGAGTGCCAATGAGACAACTCTCCATCCAAGTCATAATTTGTAAAGGTAAACCATTATAGTTTAAACACGGAGCCTTTGCCCACACCGAACACAGGCTATAAAGGGCCCCCAAAATATGACTAATGTAAAACTATTCAAACGGGAAAACCAACGGTATAATCTATATAAAAAACGAGAAACAATTATGATCAACATCATCAACAAACGACAACTACTGAAAATCAGGTTCCTGACTTAGGACAGATGCAAACAAATGCAGTTTAAACGTTTTAATAGGTACCAACCTTCACCCTTAACTTAAACAATAGTGTAACATCACAGCATAGAAAGACACACTATAAAATATTATTTGAAATGACTTAACTCAATCAAAAGACATATGAAAACAAATAAGTGAATATACACTGAACGAATAAATTTGATCTATGACACAATGTAAATATAAAATCAATAAAATAAGGGTGAGATAATAAACAATTTCAGAAAGTCAACTATATCCTTGAAAAAAAATGCCACCATATACATGATATAACGATGTACACCTTGAATAAAATGCCGCTAAATAATGTACATAGGTAAATGAAAATAATTTTGTAGAGTAATGGAGAACGGAAATATTTTTTATAAAATAAATAATTTTGTTGTTTATAGTACGAGTGCAGGAGTGTAAATTTATAGTCATACCAAAAAAAAAACAAAGCTGGTATAATTAAATCAAAAATAGAAAGACGAGATCTAACTTTAAAAAAGTAAATAATAAATGACAAAAAATTCGTAAGGGTTCCGCGGAACCCAGTGTCTCGCCTACTTTTGCTGTTAATCGCAGGCTCAACAAAAATGAGGAAAAAAATCAATAAAAATATTCCTTTAGATACTATCTTTTGATTGTAAGAAGCTTCTGTCAAAGTTTGGTATAAATCCAGGATAGTTTATGAATCTAATAAATATTGTAAAAACTTTAACTGCAGACTGTATTTAATGTTAACTGGAAGAAAAACTAAGTCCATTTATAAGTAAAATACGGATAAACAGGTACAAAATTTTAACAAAATTTCCTTCTAGATACTAGCTTTTGATCATAAACAAGCTTCTGTCCAAGTTTGGTACAAATCCAGGACAGTTTAAGAAAGTTATTAAAATTTTAAAAAACTTTAACCACAGAGTGAATGTATTGTTTCCTGGCAGAAAAACTAAGTCCATTTATAAGTAAAATACGGAAAAAATGAAATCTTTTTTTTAACAAATTTACTTCTGGATACTATCTAATGATCATAAACAAGCTTCTGTCCAAGTTTGGTACAAATCCAGGATAGTTTACGAAAGTTATTAAAATTTGAAAAACTTTAACCACAGAGTGAATGTAATGTTTCCCGGCAGAAAAACTAAGTCCATTTACAAGTAAAATACGGAAAAACAGGAATTTTATTTTTACAAAATTTACTTCTGGATACTATCTTATGATCATAAACAAGCTTCTCTCCAAGTTTGGTAGAAATCCAGGATAGTTTAAGAAAGTTATTAAAATTTCAAAAACTTTAACCACAGAGTGAATATTTGTGGACGCCGCCGACGACTACGACGACGACGACGACGACGACGCCGACGGAATGTAGGATCGCTATGTCTCGCTTTTTCGACTAAAGTCGAAGGCTCGACAAAAAGCATTACAAATTGTATCAACAGGTCAAATTGACATGAAAGTACGATTTGAGAGTACTTGCAGTTACTGAAAGCTAGTTAAAAGCCAAAAAACAATTAATGATATAAAATCATGCATCAGAGACTAAAATCAACTAAGACACATCCCAGGGATTTAGTATAAACGTAACGGACAGTCAAAGGAGACATGACTTGTTCAATGCCAAAACTAAAAGTATCGACAGGCAGTAGGATAGTTAGGAGTTAAGTTCTATATAATAAATGAATGTGAGTGTGTATTTATTTATCCCAATTGAAAAGAATACAGATTTAGTTATGTATATTCAAAGATCTAATTACAACATTGGTAAGATAACCTTTACTAATAAGTGTGCTTTAAGGTTCGATGAGTTCTTTGCTATTGCATGGTGATCTGTTTTATTGGTGGAAGAAGCCGAAGTGCCTTGAGAGAACCACCGATTTTTGATAGGAAAACTGACAATCAAGGTCAATTAATGTTGGAGTCGAGAGCACCTGCCACGTGTGGAATTTAAACTCAGAAACTCTGGGCTGACGGGCTAGTGAAACAGTATAGCGATTATTTAAACCACTCGGCCACCGAGGACCCTTGCATATCAGAATATGAGAATTAAAAACAAGAATCAAGTGTTTCGTTTTACGGTCCGTTAGTAAAGCTGACTCATGAGCAAGCATAACACATCTTCTTATGTTATGTTATGTTTTTACAAAGTTTAAGTTAATGAAAGGCCAAATGTACGCTCTAATGTTCTTTGTTTAATTTCGCATTAGGTTCATTTTCATAAAAACGTCTTCACTTAGATTAACAGCATAACTTCTTCATGTGTGTATTCTTATTTTCTAACTGAATTGTCGTTTTTTATAATGATGTGACCCAATCTAAAACCAAAAAGATGGTAAAATATGGCAAGTATGAATAATATCACAAAAAAAAACTTTGTTTTAAATTAGTTTGGTTTTCATGTTGTTTATCGTCTTTCAGATGAAAACTAATGTTGGTTATAAACATGATAAAAGAAGAAAATTTTTACAAAGAAAAGAAGAATTTTGTAATGTTTTAACATAATTGTCTACAGCAACAATGTAAAGCACTGAATAATATTTTGATTTTATTGAGAAGTTTGAATTTGGTGTAACATTTTGAATATTATTGAGACTCTTGAAAGTTTTCATTTAAGTGACTTAAACCAGTTTTGGGTTTGACTCTGTTAGTGAAAACATTCTGGATTGAGATTCTTTATAAAAAAGAAAAAAGTCCTACCTTGTTTTCCAGTTTTATCTTTGAAACTCTGGGTTGCCAAATGTTGTAAAAATTCCTGAAAAGTATAAATATGTAACTCATCATATCTCGTTTTGAGATTTAACCAAAATGAAAAATTACTTGAGACATGCATCTTCGTTGCTTAACAGCCACATTAGTTTGCTTTCATCCGAAAGTTTACTAAATAGATATGAGAAGATGTGGTGTGAGTGCCAATGAGCCGACTCTCCATCCAAGTCACAATTTGTAAAAGTAAACCATTCGTATTAACTTTTTTAAATTGATCAAAATATGGTTTGCGTACGGTTGTTAAGCATGGGCATTGAATTAAAAAATGGATTTCATCTTCAACAGAATTTTAACATAAGTTACATTTTCTTTCATTAATTTCAAAGTTACAATATCTTCCCCTTTCAATATTTAAGTTATGTGAGCTTACTCTAAATTTGGTTAAAAACCTACTTTCATTTTTATTACCACAACTTGAATATTTTTTTAATTTGAAAATGTTCTTAAATTTACGATATGTTCTTAACTTGTTCCCAATTTTAGAATGTTCAGTATTATCATTAAAAAGACCTTTTAACAAAATTTAGTTAAAGAGAGTTTTTAGAGAACTTTTTACTTTTGTTATAGTATAATAAGTTGAACTATGCATATGGAATCAATAATCAAGTTTCAGATACTGTAAATTAAAAAATTATTGAGGGCATTTATTATTGCGATTTTGTCATTTTAGACTAAACTGCGATTTTAATTTTTGCGATATTCAGAAAAATCCTGTTTGATTCATATAAAACATTTCAAAATGCGAGTTTTAATTATTTCGATGATAACCCTGTCGCATTTTTCTCAATAATAAAAACATCGCAATGATTTCTGAATTTACAGTAAGACAAAAGTTTTCTGATATTGCTAATCCAGGATTCTTTATTCTGTGAATCCATTGAAGTAAAAACAAAAGAAATATGTATCATCTCCAAATCATAGTGAGGATTTCAACATGGAGATCATGCGCTCTCAACACGACACGTGTAATGTGGCCCAAGCATTGCTGACCACATATTACATATATTGGTTATAAAAGGTCATTCAAAATTGTTTTTGTTTTGACCATATTGACGTAAATAAACTTAATTGTTTACATACCTGTAGTTTAATATTATTGGTGTGTACAATACTCAGTATTTGTGTGGTATTTGTATCTATCTGTAATGAAAAAAAATCTCTAATCTGTGAAAAGTATAACAACAATTGTTTTCAGTAAACTAATAACAAAACAATAGTGTGAAAAACAATCAGAATGAAAAAAAAACCGAATCAATTTAAAGACATATAGTGTGTCACACAATCAAAACAGGGGTTTAAAGGGGATATAATAACATTAAGGAAATATTTACTTATTCAGATTCATACTACAAATTAGACGTGTGTGAGAGATGTATTTTTTGTTCTTTTAAATCAAATGTGTTTATTCCCATGTTGTGTTGACTATAATTTTCACAGTTGCCCGATATGCAAAGTAAGTATCTCCTTTATAATAAAGCCAATCTGTCTGTGAGGAAGCAGGAATAAAAAAGTCCACTTCGTTCTATAAATAAAAGCACTTTTCGAAAAAGCCAAGGAGTGACATATTAGCTTGCTACCAAACCAGGTTTAATCAACCATTTTCTACATAAGAAAATGCCTGTACCAAGTCAGGAATATGACAGTTGTTATCCATTCATTCGATGTGTTTGAGCTTTTGATTTTGCCATTTGATTAGGGACTTTCTGTTGAATTTTCCGCGGCGTTCGGTATTTTTGTGGTTTTACTTTTTATACATAGGGAATTATGTGGACTTATCTTTCTACGGTAAGATGGGATATTGTTATATGGAAATAATGAGTATTTGAAAAGATAATACAGTTACCTTATCATGCATAGCAACTGAGAATACCTGATTATTGTTATTATAATTTTTATAAGAATAAGTCTTACCTTTTCCAATACCTCATGGATGTTTAGAAGGGTTGTCATGTATTTGTTACACAGAGCTTCATCCAGTGGTCTATTCTGTATCCTTATCAGTTCATCTTCTTTAGTCTGGTCAAGTTGAAGGACATTGGTCTTTAGTTCATCCATCAATGAGTCATACTCATCCTTAATTATACCACATGTTGTGTTATGACTCAAATAATCATTTTTATTTCGTCGAAGAATATTGACTGCTTCTTCATCAAGGTGTCCCATGTTGCAGCAGTTATACAGTAAAAGACCACACAAACTCACATCAAGTTCCTCTGGCTTGACTGTCTTAGCTGTGTACTTACAAAAACAGTTGTGTATACCAGGCCCTGGATTTTCTACATACAGTTTTTTCCATTGGTGATGATTTAGAGGTAGAGCTCCATGGTTGGTGCAGTTTTCCTTATCTGTACAACATCTTGCATGTCTGTGGCGTAAGTGAAATAAGGTGTGTATAACTGCCTTATTATCAAGAAAATCTTTCAGACAACTGAAGTTTAGGCCTTTATAGTTTCCTTCTAACTTCTGTTGAAATAGTGGAGTAACAACCTCTAAGTAGACAGATCCAACAATAAAGTATCTTCTTTTGTCTTCTTTATCCATTCTGTAAGTATAAGATAATAAGGTTGATTTCACAAATTTGAGTGTTGTTAAACATACTTTTTTCAACAAAACTGTCTTACGAACCCCATATATTGTTTGTATCTATGTGCAATTTCGTGCATTGTACGATCCGAATATGCTGTTGTGTATATAGTAAGGGTTTTTATTCTGTTGTGTCTTCCAGAATTAAGACATTTTCACTCTGACATTTTGATTCTTTTTAGATATTAGTTATTATATCTACATGACACTTAGTGAATTGTAAAATGTAGATGTGTATGTTAGTAGGATATTTTTACTATGTTTTGTTTGTGTCCTTTTTACACTGTCATTTTGACTCTTTTCAAAATAGATCTTGTTATTGAAACAAATAATCTACATGCTCATTTTACAAATGTATCTATATAAACCATAGTAAATTCAAAGATCTTGAAATACCGATGAGCATGTGAGTAGGATGTTTCAGTCCATTCCGTCAACGGAATAGAAACGGAGTAATGCACAAGCGCAACTGTTAGAAAAAAAGTAGCTAACGATTTTGAATATATTGATAAAAAGCACTCATCAGTCTAAGAGCATCATATAATTTTAGCAAATTTGTTGTATCGGATTATCAAAAGAATATTGGCAGTTGAAAAATAAAAATTAATTTCGTATTATTTTTAAATTAATTAAGTGTTTTTTCTACATGCAATTTCAAAAGATCTGTAAGGAAACTCACCTGATCAATCAAGCAGAGTTTTGTATCTAATACGAAATCTGACAGAAGAAGACCAATAACGCGCCGAATTTATATCTTTGTCGTTTAAGCTATAAACTATATTATTATATTTGTTTTTAGATAATATTTTAGAAATGAAGAAAAGTTATCTGAAACATAAGTACCAACGTCGGAAACAAGTCTGTATTTCCGTTACTTGTTTTTAAAAGAAATTAAAGATATGCATGGGTTTTTTTGTTTTTTGTTTTGTTATTTGGTAATGGGTTATTTGCTCTTCTTGTCGACTTGTTCTTTTATTCATATGAGGCTGACTTCATACAGCAACTTCTGAGGAAGAACATAAAGAAGTTAGCAGTATCCTTAAACTTTACTTTCTGCTATATAGATGATGTTCTCTCACTAAATTTAGTGACTATGTTGAACGAATCTATCCCATCGAACTTGAGATAAGTTACAACAGATACAGTTAAGTCTGCCTCATATATTGACTTACAAATAGAAATTGACAATGAGGGTAGGTTGAAAACAAAACCTTACGACAAAAGAGATAATTTCAGCCTCTCAATTGTGAACTTTCCATTTCTATGTAGCAACATTCCAGCAGCGCCTGCATATGGAGTATATATCTCCCAGTTGATAGGATATTCCATGGCTTTCATGATATCCTTGATAGAGGGTTGGTATTAAACCAATAGTTCCATTGTTCCAAGTGGTGAAGTTGAAGTCATCCCTACATAAGTTTTACGGACGCCAACACCAGTTTGTTGACCGTTATGGAATATCGTAACTACAATCCCGTACCCTTTTCCCGAATGTGAACTACCAAATAAGACTTATTACCGGGTTTGTTATAACATGCGCAACACATATGCTACATGTGGAGCAGGATCTTCTTACCTCTTCCGGAGCACCTGAGATCACCCCCCGTTTTGGTGGGGTACGTGTTGCTCAGTCTTTAGTTTTCCATGTTGTGTTTGTGTAGTATTGTTTGTCCACGGCATTGTCTGTCTATTTTCGACATATGAGTTTGAATGTCCCTCTGGTGTCTTTCGCCCCTCTTTTATTGTTTGTTTTTTGTTGGAGCCAATAATATAAGGTGTCTCAAAAGTAACGGACTGTTTTATGATAGTGATTGTTTTTTGTATGTCATAAATTGTAAAATGTAAAAATTAATATTTTTGACTGCAGTTTAAATTTTGCAAAATTAGTACGTATTTAAAAGATAATTTATTAAGCTTTGTCCTCTTTCACAGGTTACACCCAGATCGTACTATTTAATGGCCACCGTATCACACATACTTAAGGGTTTAAATGAATAGACGTGGTGAACTACATGTATTTATATTATTAGTCATGAGTGTAAATACAAAAGGGTGTGTCCTCAATAAAATATAAAGTACAATGAAAAATGAAAGATCTGTAATTTTTTTATTTGTAAAAAAGAGTGAGAAAGGGTATTGAAATACAGAAAAGATATAGAACAACAGTTTTATAGTGTACCGATGATAATTTTTTTTTTTATCTGATTATTTTTCCAGTTGGTTTTTTTTTTTTAATTCTTAGTAGCCACATTTCAATCTGAACAAGACATTATGAACTAAAGACCTACTAATATGATACATACCGGTATATGTTGATTATACAAACGTTTGTATTTGTTCGTGTTTGTTGGCCAATGTCATGGTTTGTTTAAAATATAAACTACTAAGTACTGTGATGTCCTTAACCATTTATTGGAAATACCACTTTCTTTTTTATAGAACTTAAATCATCTATGAAATATAAATACATACTTACATCTCTTATGACATTGATAAAAAATTGTGTAATCATTTATACTGAAAGGATTGTACACATCTGAGTTAACAGTTATAAGCCAAGTTGGAATATGAAAAGTATTACAATATATAGACACTATAAAAATTATTCATGTTTGCACTCACATTTAATCGAAAGTATTTGTACTTATACAATTATACAAGACGAATGTGCAAAGAAGCATAAATAAAAAATAATAAAAACCACACGTGTTCGGTCTCTGGTCTTAAAAGGCTTAAATTCATGATTTTTTTTACTTGATTGCTCATTTGGATGAAAATACAAATTATGTATATTAAATGATAATTATTTTAAAACAATTAATTTATAACACATTATATGATGTTTGCCAATTTTGTATTACTCATTCTAAATTTTCTTGGTGTTTGTATATTGACCGTTATTGCATGAGAATAGATTTGGATAATAAACACAGATTGTCTTAATCCATGCGTTTTATCAAAATTTTAATTCAATTGATATCCTAAATACGGAATGTGTCTTTATCATTTTAATTTTTCCCTGAGAAATCAGCTACGAATGCGGCACTTACTTTTTTTTTCATTTATGAAGCTGAATTATTCAAGGAATTTTGTAAAACAGAAATAAATCTTTAAATTTGTCATTTTTTATTTTAATTTTTTTTTTGACGTGTGTAAAGTCGTGAATGTTGGGCAGGCGGAATGCAGGGACATCACCTTATTCTGAAGTTTTTAACCCAGAAACTTCAAACTGTTAGTGTAATAATTGTATACCTGAGATCACCCCCCGTTTTGGTGGGGTACGTGTTGCTCAGTCTTTAGTTTTCTATGTTGTGTTTGTGTAGTATTGTTTGTCCACGGCATTGTCTGTCTATTTTCGACATATGAGTTTGAATGTCCCTCTGGTGTCTTTCGCCCCTCTTTTATTGTTTGTTTTTTGTTGGAGCCAATAATATAAGGTGTCTCAAAAGTAACGGACTGTTTAATGATAGTGATTGTTTTTTGTATGTCATAAATTGAAAAATGTAAAAATTAATACGTTTGACTGCAGTTTACATTTTGCAAAATTAGTACGTATTTAAAAGATGATTTATAAAGCTTTGTCCTCTTTCACAGGTAACACCCACATCGTACTATTTAATGGCCACCGTATCACACATACTAAAGGGTTTAACTGAATATACGTGGTGAACTACATGTATTTATATATCTTCCATGAGTGTAAATACAAAAGGGTGTGTCATCAATAAAATATAAAGTAAAATGAAAAATGAAAGATCTGTTATTTTTTAATTTGTAAAAAAGAGTGAGAAAGGGTATTGAAATACAGAAAAGATATAGAACAACAGTTTTATAGTTTACCGATGATATTTTCTTTTCTGATTATTTTTCCAGTTGTTTTTTTTTTTAAATTCTTAGTAGCCACATTTCAATCTGAACAAGACATTATGAACTAAAGACCTGCTAAAATGATACATACCGGTATATGTTGATTATACAAACCTTTGTATTTGTCCGTGTTTGTTGGCCTATGTTAAAGTTTGTTTAAAATATAAACTACTTAGTACTGTGATGTCCTTAACCATTTATTGGAAATACCACTTTCTTTTTATAGAACTTAAATCATCTACATCTCTTATGACATTGATAACAAATTGTGTAATCATTTATACTGAAAGGATTGTACACATCTGAGTTAACAGTTATAAGCCAAGTTTGAATATTAAAGGTATTACAATATATAGACACTATAAAAATTATTCATGTTTGCACTCACATTTAATCGAAAGTGTTTGTACCTATACAATTATACAAGACGAATGCGCAAAGAAGCATAATTAAAAAATAATAAAAATCACACGTGTTCGCTCTCTGGTCGTAAAAGGCTTTCATGATTTTTTTTACTTGATTGCTCATTTGGATGAAAATACAAATTATGTATATTAAATGATATTTATTTTAAAACAATTAATGTATAACACATTATATTATGTTTGCCAATTTTGTATTACTCATTCTAAATTTTCTTGGTGTTTGTATATTGACCGTTATTGCATGAGAATAGATTTGGATATGTCAATCTGCTCTGATAGCCTAATGCAGTTCCTCGTTACGGTAAATATGAAACAAAAATGGTAAATATGATACAAAACGGATGTAACAAGGTATATTTCGACCCCTAATATTGTAATTTTCGGCCGGGAGGGTGGGGTGTGCCCCCTGGTTCCCCTTTACCTGGGTGCCTCAGTCGGCGGCACCCAAACACCTGCCTCGTCTGATTCTAATGCCTAGTTACGGCCCTGTCTAAATGTTATAGCACTCGTCATAGGCGGATCCAGCCCCCCCCCCCCCTTTTCGTGGGAAAAATTTGGTTGATAATATAGGGAATCACTGAAGCATGACTGTAGCGGCCCCCTCCTCCTTATAACAAGTTCTGGATCCGCCACTGCTCGTGTATAGAGGATACCACGCTCT